ATGGACCACTTCGACCAACCAGTGTGCAGCGTCAACGAGCTTCCCTACGACAGCGGATCAGTGCAATGCGGGAGCAAGGAGCAGATGAATATGCATGGTGGTTTCCGTCAACAGCACCAGTACTCACTGAGAAAGCCTGCGAAGCATTCAACCAAGGTATCCGTGAATGGTGCGATGATCCTGCTGCCGAACACATCACATATCAAAATTTGATGTTTGGGAAGATTTTTGCGCTTGGTATTCCGGACCTCCAGGGTGCTCGGATCTGCATCCATTGGGCAGAGACGCAGTTCTATGACACATGGCCTGCGGAGTTGGATCCTGACCGAGCTCTATGTCTGGACCGTGCAAATGAGTTGATGCTGGAGGATTTGCCAACGTGGCAGACTCGTCATGAGATGGCCCGGTTAACCCGACTATGGGTCAACCTGCCTCCTGATGAGCCTGATCTTGCACCACGCCAAGCACCAGTACAATCTCGCCCGTACTGCCGAACACATCCTATTCATCGAGGATATGCAGACCTTCCGGAAGCAGAAAAAAGGCGGAATGCATGGGCTATGTATGTCAACAAAGTCCACCAGGCACCGAGCTCCGAAGGGCCATATTTCATCATACATCTCTATTCCGGGCGAAGAAGGGAAGGAGATTTTCAAGAATGGATGGAAAAGTATATCAACGAAGGAGGGCATCACAACATCTACGTCCTGTCGATCGATACAGCTGTAGATCCTGCTATGAACATTCATTGCAGTTCTCTTTGGCGCTTCCTCATGGACGTGATTCAAAATGGCAGATGCCTTGGTATCTTGCTTGGGCCACCATGTGAAACATGGAGTGCGGCGAGACACCATCCTCTCCTTGGACCCGATGATGCAATAATCCATGGACCCAGACCACTACGTCATGGAGAACATCTATGGGGCCTTGAAAAGCTCACGTGGGCTGAGCTACATCAGCTTCGCACTGGCAACATCCTCCTCCTTAAGGGGATATACCTTGCATGCGCTGCGGCTCTGAGAGGCACCCCGGCCTTTGTAGAACATCCGGCCCCGCCCTACGATGGCGAGATGGCCTCCATTTGGCGACTTGGGTTGCTAAAGATGCTCCAAAGACCACCGAAGCGCCTCTTTTCCAAACTGACAATTCAGCAATTCAGGTTTGGCTCCCCTGGAGTCAAACCGACAACGCTGATGTACAGTAATGCAAGGTTAGGAGAAGCACTTGCCCTCTGTGAAGAACCCAACCCTATTCGGCCAACGAAGCACCTTCTCGGAAAAGAGAATGGTGAGTACAGAACGGCCTGTGCAAAGGAATATCCGGCGAAGCTTAACCAAGCCTTCGCGGTAGCCATTAAGGCCAAGCTGAGCCAATGGAGGATTGCAACATCCACTCCAATCCAGCTTGTCGATACCTTTGGCAAATGTTTGGCAGAGACATCTGCTGCTGCCAGCACTGAGTGCGGCCAGCGCATGCCTGACTACCAACCGAGGTAGCCTGGCAGCTGAATTCACATGACTAGCATGACATGGCACGAGCGACGACGTTCAGCGGCCAAAAAAAAAAATATATCAATCGGTTAATAACAACTCAACCATTCATAACTATCCTTTAACCATCATCAATTCTTGTTGCACCATCCCATCTCTGTGTTTTTTTTTTTCGGCCATCCACGGATCCACCTTGGCCTCTTTGGCAGTGCTGGTCCCCAGACCTTTGTAATACCTGGGGCCAAAGTCATGGTTGCTGGGGGTTGCTGGGATGATGAAATTACGAATGTGATGAAATGGATCATTCCCGAAAAATCCCTACGTAAAACGCACCAGTAAGATGTTACTCCCCTATTCTAATCCATGGAGGTTTCACCATCCTCTGTTCAGCTCAGCTACTTGATCTTCCAGCCTTTGCCACCATCCATGCGCTCCTTCCAGGCCTGGTGGTGTTGGTGATTTCAATTGGAAATGGACTTCCAATCATATTCCAATAGTCAACGGTCAGTTTCAATGTTTTCTATAGTCTTATAGTGGATTTTCCAAATGATAGATTTGCTGTAGATTTAGAGTAGTTTCCAATTGGTCGCTATGCTGCTAGCTTCTGGCTTCGGGTTTCATGATTATTTTGAGAAGTTTCCAATGGTGCTTTTGCAGTTGAATTTTGAGAGTTTCCAATCGTAACACTCGATAGAGATGTTTGCTCTCCGAGAACATGTCAGGGGAAGGACTGTTCCATCTTTCTGAGAACGGAAGCCCTTTCTTCAAAATCCGATCTCCATAGCAACGTAACCCTTAGGACTGGATCCCAAATGAACAAATCCAATGCCACTTCCAGGTTTCTTGGGAGGCCTTTAAAGATATAATATATATATATACTATATATATATACACTGTAGTACAAATTATTGGATCATTATACAAATGAACATGGCATGCATAGATAGCTCTTTCTTCTTGACGAGGGATGCATATCGTGAGACCCAAGAAAGGTCATATCTTGTCATCAAAAGTCCAACTCCATATCTTGAGAAGCGAAATACCCCAAATAGCCATAAATACATAGTATCACTAACATTCAGTAACTAGTTCGATATATTATATGATACTGGATATCTATATTTTTTCGATCTTAAACATTCATAAAACCAATCATCAACCTGGTTATGTTCCTAAAAGAGATGACTTTGGGTGTCTTAAAAGGTAGGAACCCACATGACTTCTCCGACCCGCTTGAGTCCTGGTAGTCGTGAAGGGTGAAGAAGCTCTTTTCGTTCCTTGGTGCCAAGATGGTCTCCCCTTGAGTCATGAGTTGGTGTATATATGGGTCGACAAATACTTAGAACATCATCTGGAAAACGCTCCTCCAACATTTAACAGGGTGGGAACCATACTTAGAACATCCCCCAAAAATCCATACTTAGAACATCAATTTGTACATGATGATGTTCTAAGTATGTGTCCACTATACTAAAAGCAATGCAAAAAAGGCGGGGTGAGTATAGTAATGTGTCAAACCAGCTATTTAAGCTTTGATGTGCGCAGAACAGAATGTGTGGGACACACCATATTTTCAGTGATGACTCCAGTGTCAAAAAAAAATACCAAAACCAATGCCCTTCCAAAATATCAACTTTGCAGCAAATATGTTGCATGCAATGACAGAGACAGAGACCGCATGAGACCGTGCAAGAGAAAAATGTGCATGAGAGAATGTATGTGCAGGTGGCTTTTTGAATTTCCAATCATTTCTCCTCAGCCGGAAAGACACTTAGAACATCAAACCACCCTTTCCCCTGTCAAAATGCATGTTTTATGTGTTGATGTTCTACTGTAAGTGGTGTGTTTCTTGATGTTTGATGTTCTAAGTGATATACTTAGAATATCCCGATCTTGATTTTTGTGATGTTCTAAGTGTGTGCGTGTGTGTGTGTGTGCCGGTGCAGTTGGAAAACGTTTGATATTCTAAGTGTTTGTCGACGCATATAAACCGATCCAACTATAGTTATAATCACCATAAGTCCAGGTCGATGAACTAGTTATAAACCAACTGAGCTAACAACTCTAGGGCACCACCTCATAGTTAACTGAAAAAACAAACGGATGGATATCAAGAAAATATCAAGTCTACGGGCTGGAAGAATGTCCTGGCGCCGCTTGCTATACTTCCCGGCTCTTGAAGCAACCCGGGAAATGCTAAGCCAGTGTTAAGTTGCTGGGTCACTGTTGACTGTGAAGAAACATCAACAGCTCTTTTCAAGGGGTAACATCAGTACAAAAAGGCAGATTTGTTCATGTAAAAACATGGAGATGTCCCAGCCATGGAATCGATAAGTAGAGGGTATCCTTCAATGACGGCCACAGCCGCAGGGACCGCAACCTCCAATTTTTTGTGCAGGTTTTTATACGTCAAGACTCTGTCGATCGTCAGACTTCTTTCCTTCCTTCCAGACCTTTTTCAAACGCGGGGTGTTTTACCAGGACCAGCATGGAGGAATGATTATGGATATCTTTTGGGGGCACTTTGTGGTCATCAAATATGGCTGGGAATCTCATCATCTAAGTGGGAAAACAAAATGACGACCGTCTTAATTGCCTGGGTCAAAACTGAACAGAAAGTCATTGTGTTTGGTATTTAGATATATTTAGATGTATTTAGAAGGCATTTATAGGGGCCCCCGAATAGATGGCATCAATGAAATTTCAACCTCATGTGTTGGTTCAGTGTGTGCCATCTATCGGGTCACGACAAAATGCAAAAGATTCTGCTATTTGTAGCGATTTGCAAAAGCCATCTTAGGGCACGATAAACATAAATATAAATATATATATATACGTATATATATACATATATATATATACATATATATATATACATATATATATATATATTTATTATTATGCCCTGAATATGGTGTGCCATCTTTGCAACCTAGAAATCTCTGTACTTGTTAAACAGGTCAAGTATACAAGTATCCCGTGGGGTATGCCATCTATAAACCGCCAAATTCTGTATACCCCATTTTTGCTGTTTTTTGAGCTTAGATTGCATTTTTGATGTGTTTTAATGTAATTTTTACATATGCCAACTATTCGGGGATCCCCAGATAGGATGTATGAATCCCTTTGAACTACCGGTTCCAACAAAATTTCATGACCCAGAAACCTGGCTGTGAGACTACCTGGGCCCAGGGCTATACCCCATAGGATCCACGGATGGTATATATATATACTAACATTGGGGGTATATTGATGGTAAATGTTACCATATATAGCATACATGGATCCTATGGGTACTGGATTCATATTCGATGTTACTATGGTTACCTTTGGATCCCTTTAGGTTTTTGGGCACCCGAATTGCTGTCAAAAAAAGCCACGAAAAGCTCCGGCCTTGACAATGGGCGTGATGAATTCCTGGCTCGTGGTTGCGTCCAGATTTTGGCCCTAATAAATCCAATCGTTTGCTCTTGACATACTCTAATGTCATGATATCCCACTATCCATGCGTTACAGATCACCGGTGGCCTTCAGGAACCCAGGCATCTTGGCCAAAGATGGCCACCAAAAGTGAATCAGGTTGATCAGCAAACCCTGGCCGCTTTGAAGTGTTGCGATTGCCATAAAAGGCAAGGGTACCGGTTATGAGATCTAGTGATAGTCATGATGATCACATATAATAAACCCCGCATGATCATTATCAATAAACCAGGGAGTATCTATAAAATTCTATAAATAATATACGTATCAACTATGACCCACCCCAAGAACCCATCGTGTCGGGGGATTTCAACAACAACGTGTATGGCTGCTTGGTGTTGTCGAAACAAGGGAAACATGGGGCCCAACTGAGATCGACCTGCAGGAACCAGAAATTGACCCATGAAATCACCATGAATTTCTGGAAAAATGTGAGGTACAGCTGAAGAAATTGAAGAACATTCAGAGAAGGTTTTGTCTATTCTATGATGACCAAATATCAACAAGAAAAATGACTGGAAGAAGTTTCCGGAGACAACATCTGTGGGGCCTTGATATGCGATCCGTCGTGATCTTGATCCGTCATCAACCTCAAAAGAGCTGGGATGGTTTGGGATATTCATCCCCGGCCCATGGTATAATAACTGTTGTTTCCTCACATCAACATTTGAGTTGGTCCAAAAATCAGGGGAATACTAAAGCATACCATTTCAATTGGGAAAAGAATGATACACCATGAAATTTTTGGACATCCTTCTTTCAGAGAATCCACAAAAGTTGCCTTGATATGTGTTCATTAAACTTCAGAAGTGAAAATCAACTTCTTTGTTGATCCTGAGGCTTCTTCCCGAGTCTGAAAGGATAAAATCCAACGGTTTTTCTCAACCAACGACCTGCCATAATCAGCGGCCAAGGAACATAATGGATCCATAGCGCAGACCTTGAGCACCTCGGCCGTCAAAAGGTCACATCCACTTCAAGTTGAGTCATTTAAGCTGTTGTCCAATAAGGGGGTATACCACAAAAAATGTAATCTTAATAGGGAAATTGATGATACACCATGACCAGCACCACTGTTTTGTTTTTGATCCAACATTTCTGGACAAACAACCTTTTCCATGATAAAAATCAGTATTCATGTGTCCATCATGTTAAATAGTTCTTCTTAATGGTTGGATCCTAATCTTCACGAGACTCTGCTTGCCATCCGGTGTCGATGGCAGGAAAATCCACCAGCCGCTGGGAAATCCCGACTTGTGGAGAAAGCCCTGACCTTCACTGGGTTCTTGAAACTTCCATTCATTGAAAGGGGATGTCTTATCGGAACCTCCATTATTTTCACTGGGTTCCACTGGGTTCCACTGGGTTCCACTGGGTTCCTCGGACTGTCGTATTGGCGTTTCAGGTCTAGGCCTCGTGGTGCTCAGCAGGGGTTCACCGGAAATCTAGGGATTTCCTACAAAACTTCCCTTCATCCAGGACGAAGCAATGGAAGCACCATCAAAGTTGGGAAATTCAACAAGAATGAATAAGAATGGTGGTTTAACCAACAATCAAAACAATACAGGTTTACATACCAATTCTGCATGTGTTTTTTTTCATAACTTTTGATGGTAAGAAGAACTCTTCAATCACAACTTGTAGTGCTGTTAGTCACCCCAAACATCCCCAAACTTCAGTCAAAAGGCTTGACCCCCAACGCCTTACCCTCTTTGCTCCAGGGACCCGAAACCAACGGCCACCCCTTGGCCAAGGGGCCCATGATCTGCAGCAGGTTAGAGATCTCTGCGTTTCCAGTGACCTGGACAAAAAGGATGCCATTGGCCCATGGGCTGATGAAATGTGCTTTCCAGAATGCATGCATAATATATTATAATTATAGTGTCATATGAATGTGAAAACAATGGGATTTCAATGGGATATTCATGGATTATACGATGGGATATGAATGAGATATTTTTCTGGGATTTCAATGGGTTTTTCGATGGATTGTCAATGGGGAAGAATGGAATCTAAATCAATCTAAGTGGGATCTTAAGGAGTCCAAAGAAGTTGAGTGACCCACAGCAACACTTCCAAAGCGAAGGAAGGCCCCATGGCCTGCTTAAAGTTCGCATCCCGGACGTTCAGGACCTGCCCAATGGGTGTGTCGCAAGGTGCAATAAATCCACTGGCTACTATCCTACCCATCATTTCACCCATTAAAATTGTTGTTCGAGGTACACCCCATTTTCAGGCACACCCGCATTGTCTTGATAAAAGTGAAAGTGCATGCAACAAACACAGATCGTATCTTTTTCTTACCCAGGACGAATCTCAATTTCAATGCATGCTGGCCAAAAGACGCAGCCAATCCTTCATGTTAACCAATCTCCAATCCAGAAGAGCATAATTCCATATGAAATTCCCTATTGCAACCAGTTTGTAGCCTCTTGTTTCCCAATCTTGCAGACCCCCAAAGAAGTCCAGTTTTTGCTCCCCCACGGACTAAGCCCAAATTTGGGCCTTTCCCTTCAACGGGAAGACACCATACTTGTCTCGTCCAATCTGGGCCGAGGAACCGCCGCACATCCAATGGTTGATCCATGTTGATCCATTGGTTGATTTATCAAATATATCTGGTTGGTGGTTGAGCCCTACCCCTCTGAAAAATCATGGAGTTAAAGTCAGTTGGGATGATTATTCCATTCCCAACTCAATGGGAAGTCATAAAACATATTTGAAACCACCAACCAGCTTGTCAGTCCCATGTTGAGACGAAAACATGATATGGTGCATGAGCCGATCTCATCACCATTTCGATGTTCATCACCGGTGGTGCGACTGGGCACGATAATTGAGACAGTTAAGTTGGTTAACCATGGTTTAATGGTTTATGGGTGTTTAGGGATAGATATAATATATACAATATCATATAATATAAATATCTATAGTGGGTTTAATGTTTACATGATTTACATGTACTTGGCACCAACTTCTATAGTGGGCATGTACTAAGTCCCAACTGACTGGGCACCACCTTTTTGATACGGAACATCCTGAAATCTCAGAGGTCTCCGAAAATTCACTGTGGGCACCCTTACCACGCTGACGCCCGCAACGGCTAACGACTTTGCCTCGGCGTTTTCGCTCGAAGGCCACAAAAATATAGAGCCATAAATGGGAATATTGGTCGTGGTTTGTTCATAATACCGTATATATAATTATATATATATATTATGATTGTATATTATTAATATGTGAAGATCAATATGTGTGTCCATAGGAACTTTTATCCACTGTGTGGATATGGTATGTTTAAACTGTTGATGATAGGCCGGGATGGGTCCAAAATGCTGGACGATGGGGTATCCACAGTGTATCATCTGTGTCTTTTTTGTGGTCAGATTCGACTAGTCTCTCACCTCACCTGATTTTCAAGAATTCTCATGATGGCTTATCAGATCCTTTTGTATTGTGGGTAAAACATGGTAAAACAATGTCATAAACCACCCATGACTGGGAATGGCTTGTTTATACCACCATATACCACCTATACAGTATATTTATGGTGATGGGATGGTTTATGACTATGACATTGTTTTACCCACAATTACTCTTGATGTGACTGGGGCCAACCGCAACCGCAAATAATACCATGGAAATACCCCAAGATGTGGGCAATTCGAATAGGGAAACTGATGAAAAAATCAATGAGTCCTCAAAACTCATCAATCAATTCATCAATCAATTCATCTTAGCACCATAATTCATGGATTTTGAGTGCCTTTTGGCACTTCAATACACCACTGGTGTGTTCCCCCAGCCGTCCCGAAACCCCGGCGTCTGGGAGGCCCTGGCTGAATCACCCTCTGTGAGGATCAAGGTGCAATCCTACGCGGTGAATGGATCTGTGCTATGAAAGGACCAGCAAAAAATCGTGCCAATTCATTTTAATTAATATAATTAATATATTTTGAAATTATGTATATGTTAAATATAATATGATAAGGATATGTTAATATGATTAAAGCATATGATTAACATATGTATTATATGTATTATTATGTTGTATGTTAAATTACGTTAAGGATCCTATTTTTTTCGGATGATTTCTCGGATCACAAAGCTTTGTGCCATGGTCACATCCCATGCCTTGGGAATCGATCCATGGCCATCCCACTCTCCATGGCACAGGGCAGCTGATTTGCAAACCCCATGTGTTGCTTCAAGGGCTTCAAGGGGAAAGTTTTGGGAAACCGTATTGTCTTGACATCTTTTCACCGTGAAATGCGGGGAATTCTGCTACATTCCCTCGACTTGAACATGTTTTTGGGTTAAAACAATATACTTTCAATATACCAGTAGGAACCCCCAAAAAAAAAACAAATCCAAAAAAATAGCAACGTACCTTCCAGGACGGTACTATGGATATCTATGGATGATGTTTCCTCCAGAATTTTCTGCCCTGGTCGCCCTGGTACAGGGCTCCAGGGATCGCCAGGGATCGCTCCTGCGAGTGTCGACCACCCGCATCGTTGGCATCATCCAGCCTGGCTGGGCCAAATTCCACCAACAGATCCGAGAGCGTCGGAAAAATGGTCCAATTACCTGGAAATTATATGAAATTATGGCCAGTCATGGGAAATATATGAGTTTTTGTTTTGTGAAATTGTGTTTAACTCTTGGACAAGCCATGACAAACCAATTGAAAACAAAAAAGTGTCCCACAGGATGGTGCCCCCCAGTTATAAGTTGGTTTATAAACCCCATTAACTAGTTCGTTGTATCTGCCATAAACCATAGTTATGGGAGTTATGTTCACCAACTTAGCTAACAAACTGGGGCACCACCTTGCATCATGTTCATTCATTTTCCCTATAAAGATATAGCTTCTCCTCCATTCCGAGACAACCAGTCAAGGTCCAAGGTGCTTGGGAATGCCATTGACGCGGCCCTGGTTTTTGCTGGCCCGCAGCTGTTTGGACATGTCCACCTTTTGCTTTGCCTTCACCTCAGCGGGATGGCGTGGATGGATCGAAAAATCGATCCCAGATATGGCCTGGTTGGTGGTTGACCTAGCCCTCTGAAAAATATGACTTAGTCAGTTGGGATGATGACATTCCCAACTATATGACAGTCAGTTGGGATGATTATTCCATTCCCAACTGAATGGAACAAATAATCCAAATGTTCCAAACCACCAACCAGTTGCAGTTGCATGGATGATTTTACTATAGCAAGCAAAAATGACCGAAGCACCACCTCAGAATAGTGTTGAGCATTTGGCTATGAAGCATTCGGATATGTGGAGGTTGTATGAACAAAATCTTTGGACCACATCTCTCATTCACTACTTAAATGCACATTCCAAACATCGTTTTGCTCATCCAACCAAGTACTGCAACCCAGTATTGATGCCACTATGGTTCTATAATAACATTCTATAACATTCTATAACTATATAATTCTGTTTGCTGTTGCTTCTTTTCATCGATAACTCGCCCCCCAGATCGAACTGCTCCCGCAAGATCGGCCCCCGGCCCAATCCAAGATCGTCTCGACGATGCCACTTTTCATCACCTGCGGTCGGGAGAACTTGGAGTTGACATAGCCCTTACACAGGCCTTTATGGTAGCTACCACCAATTTAGGTTCCTGAAACGGCCATTGAAAAAAAAAAACAGAGTTGATACGAATTGGTGCAAGTTGTAGTGGGCGCCGTCTACGAATGCTGAAAGAATAATTCCACCGCCTTCCTGTTCCTGGATAGAGTTGTTTTGAACAGTTATATCTCAGAGATCTTGGATACGTTTGGTGATTTTCTGAGACATTCTGATGATGCCCAACTAAGTCACCTATTTGCAAGGGCATTCTGTCCCACCTCATCTATCATCAGTTTCAAAGTCCAAGGGATATGATAACTAGACAAAAAACACCCTATAAATATGTTAGTAGGGAATAATCAAACAATAAGTCCAGGGTGGGGAATATTAACCATCCATACTAACCAGCTAGATACTCGACCATGTTTTTTGTCTTGTTGGTTGATGTTGGTTGATATCCCCTTTCCTGCCTATCTGATTGCAAAAAATATTGAGTTACTATTGAGTTTTTATATCCCTTTGGATCTGGCTAAATCATGGATATTTCAGCCAATAATCTGAAATAAAACATAAGGACTTCACCAAGAAAAATGGAACAACAACCAACAACCAGCTGCTACATGATCTACATGAAATACCTCCAAAAGGCGGGCAATAAACATTGGGTCCCGAGAAGCGCCAGCTGGAACGGTACTGGATTGTGAGTTTTGAACCATACCCAAGACTCAATCTTCGACAAACAAACATGTTGTCCAAACATACAGCAAAATCATGCGTTTTGAATTTGTTGGGCAAAGTTCGCTCATCATGGATCAGGATACGAACTTGCATCTGCCTTCCATTTTTTTAAATGACCCAAAACAACAACCTAAAACAATGATGTCTAAGTATAAACCAAAGGAGAGTCACTCACAGTCGGTGCGGTTCCCAGGTTCTTACCTTCCATAAAGAAAATTAATAATTAATTGAATTTGGTTCTTTGCAACCACCATTACTGGCATTACTCATTGGCAATCATCCCAACAAATCCGGAAAAACATCCGATTTTTTGACCCAAAAATATCCCAACATCAACCAACCGGGCTCGGCCCCAAATGTGACCTGCTTGATGACTTTGTCCGGCAATTCGCAGGTTGATCCAAACCTGGACGGCGGGCTGGGCTGAAAAAATGGCGACCGGGAATCGACCGGCAACGTTTGAATAGCGACCCAATATGACCCAATATAATCATCATTTATTTGAATCAAACTAACATTTGAATCATAAAGAAATTCAAGTTTGGAGTTTGGGGACAAGAAGAAAATATAACAAATATGGTGAGCTACCATGTTCTCAAACTTACATGATTGAAAAAAAAATATATGCCCCTTACACCGTTTGGCTGGTCCCGAGGAACACTTGGGATTGCTCAGGGCGGCACTTGCTTTGCTTGGTGGTAAGCGTCCTGGGGCCGGGGGACACTGGAAAACATCATCTACACAGGGGAATGAAACAACCAGTGATTGTTTTTTTCTGGTCTTTTCTAATTGTTTGTGTCCGTTTGTGGTTGGTCACATGGGACCAAATGGATCTTCTGGATGTGGTTCAGACATATTTACGTTGGCATTCTTTTGGCGTGGTCATTGGGCGCATGGAATTGAATCTACAGCAAGTCACCCAAAATGCCAATTTTACACCGAAAATGATGATAAACATAACAAACACTTGGGTTTGGTCTACTGTTGATCCACCGTAGTTTGGGAGAAACCCAAGCGACTGCTATGATTCGACTGCCAAGCGGCTCTTTGGTCTGGGAGTCGAAAGCAGGATTCTCAATCAAGCAATTGATGAAGACCCAGAGGTGGTTTCGTACCTCGAAAGACCGCAACAATGCCACTACGATTAGCTTGGAGACCATGAACACAGTTTGTTTGGGCCCGTGGTTTATGGAATGCTCACTTGCAAAAGAAACTCGCAATCTTTCATTATGGGGCCAGCATGGGCGGGGGTTGAATTCCTTCGGCAGCTGCCGAAACTCTTTGCAAATCGAATCTGCCAGCGGGACATGCGCAGGCTTGATGTCGATGCCGCCGCGGTTCTTTCCTTTCACAACCTGCATGCGGAGGCAGTGAACATGGTGGGAACAGGTTTGCAGTTATGCGCGGCGACAGCAGGTGAAACCGCATTTCACGAGATATGTGGTAAGTGGAGGTACCCCAGGTCAAACCTGCCTGCGCTGTGTGACAATACGTAGATCTAGATGGATTATATACAAAATTTCACAATGCTGAAATCAGATCTTGGGATAGCTACAAGCATCCTAATCATCATTCCAGTGACGTCCCACCGGCTGGGATCATTTTCAGAATCTTGGAAACAATCAGTCATGTACCCTCTGGTAAACTAACATGACTATGGAAAATCACCATGTTTCATGGGAAAATTCACTATAAATGGTTATTTTCAATAGCTATGTTAAATTACCAGAGGGTAATGTGGTGAACCTAACTAATCACAAACCATTCTTAATATTACCATAAATGGGTGGGATGTAAAAACAATCCTGACATATCCTGGCCTGACATTATCACAGGTTTCATTGTTTGTATCCCCACATATGTGATGGTTTCTGAACATGCGGGACCCCCAAATCATCCGTTCACATGCGTTTTAAATCAAAAGAAAACCAGAAGGGAATGGAGGTTCCCCATAAGAAGAAACGACCATTCATGCGGGATCTGGGTTTGTCTGAAGATAAGGTACCCTTGAACCCAGTGGTAAAACAGTTTTATCCTCATGAATCATTATTTCCATTAAAATGTCCATGAATTTCCCATGAAATGCACAATAATGATGTGGTAAAACCAATGCCATGAACCATACCCAAGTCATCACCCTGTTTATGGTTTGTTTTCCAACTATCCCCATTGATGATAGGTTTCTGGCTAGGTTTGCCCAGCCCAGGCCCCACCTTGAGAATCGCTTCGACCACTTGGTCAGAAACCTCGTGGCACCATTCCATGGAAATATCATGGGGATGTGCCAAACATGTTTTAAGGCTTTGGTTGGGATATATATATATATATATAAATAGAAAAAAAATGTTTGTTCTCTCTCATGAGGCTATTTCATGGGATATACACATAGAACCAAATTTGACATGATATTTTAGAGTTTGCCTGAAAGTGGGGGACTTGCCTGACGTACTTCAAGTAAACTTAAGGGGACATGTTGATGATAAACCATGAAAAAACATGGAGCACTGCGATTTTTTTTTGATCTAATGTGAAGATTGTACATAAATATCGCTCCGGTTCTTGTCCTATAAGCCGGGAAGGCATATACATTTTTACGTTGGACATAAATGTGAAAACAAACAATTTGAAAATGCATTTGAAAAAATGGAAAAAATGCATTCCAAAAATGTGAAACATGTGAAAAATGCGAAAGATGTGGAAATGTGGAAAAACAAAAATTATATACATTTTTTTATGTTTTCCCTAATCTAAATTAAATAAAATTTACATTCATTGTGAATCTATTGACATGAATCATTGAAAATGAACATATGCTTGTGTGGAATCCTAATGTTTAAGTTTAATATTCTGTAATTTAACATTGGATTTCAAAGAAAACCTGAAAAAACCTATAGTGTCAAGTCAGGATTAATCAGCCCCGCCGGATTAATCAACACCCACTGCCCCCCCAAAAAAACATGTAATTTAAACACGGGTGGCCACCCTGGATTAATTATCTCTTTGGCCTACCCCCGATTAATCAACCTCCAGTGCTGAAATCCCATGTTTTTAAACCAAAATTCTTTATTTCCAATTCTTTTTGTTTCTCATCATTCACTGTCTCATCAATCTCAGAACTCATTACTGTTATACTTAAGGTTTAAGTTGAAATATTGTTTTGTTTTATTTTCCAACTCTATTTATTTTCAAATGGTTTCCGTATGCTATACTTAAGCCGAGACCTCATGAACACCGGAAGCCATCGCTGCTGATCATTGAAAATTTGATCCAAAAAACTATTCCCCAAATGATCGATTTCCAATTAAATTCTTTATGCAAATCATCAATTTGGATAGCTCCTAAAGGGTACCCCCCATGAGCCCATGTCCCCCATTAGTAATAGTAACCAAGGTTCCCCTTATTAATCAACCCCCATGTCCCTAATGTTGTTTTCTTTGGATTTGCCCGTTCATTCCCAGGGTCCCCCATAACTTTCAGCCAATGTTTTCAGTCGATCAAATCTCATCAAACCCAATGGAATTCTACGAAAAACTAATTGACTTCTATGGATTCCAAACCATATCCATAATTTTATGGTTCAGAGGGCGTTTATATGCGTTTATTAAGGCGGGACACTAGGAAAGTAGGAAAGACCTTACAAGGTCCATCTGACCTTGTGGGGGGAGTTATTAATCCGGTGTTGCCATTATCTGGGAAGAATTGGAAAATGGAACTCGAGAACAAGACCTTTTCAACTGCCTTTTGTTCACATGTTTCACATTTTTTCGCATGTTTTTCACATTTTCAAACCGCATTTTTTCACATTTTTTCCAAGCGCATTTTCAAAACGCATTTCACCCGCATTTTTCACACTTAGAAAAAAAAGTAAAAAAATATAAAAAAATGGAAAAATGTGTTTTGAAACTGCACTTGGACAAAATGTGAAAAAATGCGTTTTGAAAATGCACTTGGAAAAAAGGGGAAAACATGTGAAAACATGTAAAAAAATGAAAATCCAGTTCGGAAGGTGGAACTCTGAAATTTGTTCTTCAAGTTTGATTTTTTGGGGTCCAGTTTTGCTGCAGTTACTTTGCAGCCTGCCCAACTTCTGCGGATTGAAAATCGGAGAGGGGCAGTTCAAATCGATCGGACGTGGACTGTGCAGATCGCAGCTCCGTTTAATTTATCTATAGCAAAACAATGACTACCAGGAGTAAAAACATAAAATCAAATACAGAAGGAAAAGTGAGCAAAGCTTCAAAATTGCTTGAAGAAATGCATTATTTCACATTTTTACATTTTCAAAATTCACTTTTTCACATTTCAAAAATAATGCGTTTTTAAAACACATTTTTCACCTTTTTTCAGATTTTGAATTCAAACTACTACAACCCTTGCGTAGCTCAGTTGGCCATCATAACTGTAGCTGTGATGGCCAGCAGTCCGCAAAGCACTGCCAACCCTGCAACGAATTCATTGAACGCTCTCATTTGCGTGGCATGTTGATGTTTTTTTAATCATGTGCTTGTTGCTGCCGCATGGCTGTTGTAAATAAAGCTTCGCCGCTGCTCTTTTCTTTGAGTGTGGGTTGTGTTGATGTCAAGAGTTCACAGGACCTGTCAAAGAGGTTGTTACACAAGCTGCAGTACAAAAACTGCTATGAACTTAAACCAAGCAAATAACTGTTGTTTATGGTATTGCTCATGAAGCATCGGGGCAGCTCGCTTTTGCTCTGCAACTTGAATATGGCAACTGCAGGTGGCAACAAGTTTTCTAGTTGGTTTTTGCGATTGTGGCTTCAGCTGAAGCTGTGGTTGGCGTCGTTGCTCAGCTCAGCTGACACACTTCTTGATGTGTTTGTCTGCTTCTCTGCAACCTATATCAGCGCACAACAGAAGAAAAAGAACCATGGCAACGATACAACAAGTCTGCCAAGTTCCCGCGCGAAAATGGAGGCAATATACAACACAGCAGAAGTTTACCTATCATGGTTGGGCCTGATATCGCGTTCCAAATTGTCTGCACTGGGTTTACCTACAGCGCGCTGCAAAAGTGCCATAAGCTTTGAATTTGCATAACATGAGAGAAAGCTTACGTGCAGTGTTTTGTGTGGGTCCACTGCAGGAGCATTCATAAGCTGTCAAAGACGCAAAAAACGCATTCCCTGCCGCTGCCCGAAGAGAGCACAATTGATTCGCGGCGGTGCAGCTCCTTGCAAATCACTTTTGCCAATGCATGCGCCAGCTTCGATTCCTTGTTTTGCGCCGCGTGCGCCAGGGGGCTGAAGGACACAACACCCTAGTTCATTCCGTGTACATGTGATATGTACAACAGGTCCAACATTAATCAACATTCTGAATCACAGCCAGAGGCTCGCTGCTCATGAGGTAGGCGTGCGTCTTTTCCAGTAAAGCACTGGGTGTTTGCTTTAACAAGCGATGCTAGTGTCAAATGTCATGCACCGCCTCATCGCCAGCGGAACTCCCTTCCTCGTCGCCTCAGGCGGAGTCTGCGGTGGTGGACCGGGAGGTGTCCATGGGGCCAGCAAAGCTAACTGCTCTGGAAGTGCCAACAACAATTCTGGTGGAGTGTGAGGGACAGCCACTCCGTCAAGCCACACCCCAGTCAGTTGAGGGGGCGTTTGTGGCGCAGCATCCCATTCGGGGATGTCTACCCACTCATCGTCAGACATTGCCACGGGAGTTTGTGGCGCAGCATCCCCTTCGGGGATGTCTACCCACTCACTCTCATTGTCGTTGTCAGTGTGGTCGGGCCTAAGTCAAGGTGCTGGTGAAGGATTGGGGCCAATGGCCTGACCTGTTCTTTTCAGCCAAGATACTCCTCTGGGATAGCGGCGCCAGTGTCCACCTCCATGCGGTCAGCGTTGCCGCGTTCCATTGCCATAATCGTCACAGAAGTGCACCTGAGAAGGGTGACGCCCACAACGGAAAGTTTGCAGAGGAAAGGTGAGGAAGCAGGGGTGCCTATCATTCGCAGACAATTGAGGAGCTGACACGGAGCAGCAATGGCTTGACCAAACGCGCCGCTTGATCATGACAATAAATGGCAAACTGCAGTGCACACATAGCAGCAGCAACTGCAAACAAAAGCATGTACAACAGCTGTCAGCGTGTCAAGGGATTTGAAAAACCAAAAAACTTCGAAAAAAACAAAAAAAACAAAAAAAACACTTTTCCAGAGGTCTTGGTGGATAGGGGGGTCCAGCCAAGAGTCCTCATTTTTTTTTTTTGTTTTTTTCGATGTTTTTTTGTTTTTTTCATTTTCTCCATGAGGCCCCTCCCCAAAGCGTCTCCAGATATTGTTTTTGTTTGTTTTTTTTGTTTTTGTTTTTCAATATTTGTTTGAATTTTCTCTAAGGGGCCCTCCCCAAAGAGTTTCTGAATGTTTATTTTTTTCTCAGCACAATTGTTTTTTTTAAATATTTGTTGAATTTTCTCTAAGGGGCCCTCCCCAAAGAGTTTCTGAATGTTTGTTTCTTTGTTAGTATTTTTAAGTATGTTGAATCAGTGTTTGATGATAGCTACTATCCAAAAAAAAGGAACCTTTTTTATATGCAAAATCAAGGAAAAACACTGTAAATACCAGTGAATTATAGGAACATATGGGTTTTGGGGGGGTGGTACCATATATGTATATATATATATATATGCCTTATATACTTCCAGATGCGATGTCAGAAACTACAATAAAATAATTTGTCACGATGGGGATCACTGGAAGTAAAGTTATTTTTATGAATTTGGTTGTCCCCATCATTTTTGCTGGTACTTTCTCTTTTTCTCCATAGTCCTTCCAAGTTTCAACCTGTTTCTTGAACGAACTTTTACTGTGGTTTGTGAGCCATCGGCTGCTCAATGTATGGAAACATCGCCAGATGTTTTTTTTCAACTTCAATGGATCCAAATTCATGTCACAACCATAACCGTATATCTGCATAGAAAATGGATGTTCTATGGCTAAGTGGCATGGCTTATTCCAGCTACTTCCAGCCTGTTTCAGGGACAAATCTGGATGAAGGATCACCCCGCTGAGGCAGCTTATTCACCAGGGTTATATGGTTATGAACCATGTACTGACCGGGATAATCCTCCAAGTACTTGATTTATCTTGATTCATATAATGTTCCAGTTTCAGTTTTGATGGTGAAACTTCTTCAATCCACAACGTTTCACTTCACTAGTCACTTGGTCGATTGCCTGAAGGAAACTATGCTTGAAGCAGGGTTTTTGCTTGTGATTGATCGCGAAGGTGCATGCGTATCTGTAGCTAGCTAGTTATCTACTTATCCATCTATCGATCTTAGCTTAGCTTTGTTTTGCTTTGCTTGTATCTTATCTATATCAATTTTTCTATTACAGCTACATCTCTGTATGTATGTATATAATCACTACCCTTTTAAGGAGGCCTCAGGTGTAGGATGGTTACATGTTTCTATCTTAGTTTTACCTTCTTTTTCGAACACTTTCTGAAAGGAACTATGGACCTCAGACATAGGTTGATTACATCCCCACAAAGACACCTCACAAACAGTTTACAAACTGCTTGCGGACATTTAACAATGTTTACCTTCCTCCCCCCACTATCCGTAGAGTACGGGGGGGGGGTTCGGAGGGGGCTACGGGGTGACGTATCTCTTACGGACTTTCAACCGCCCCCCCTAAATAAATCTTCCGCGGCACGGTTTTTGACGTAGGAGGGGTCTAACATACATATAGCCTTCCCCATCAGGAAAAAATACGAAGGGGTCAAAATTGTTGCTTACATTTTTTGAACGCCACCCATGCTTACACCCCACAAAAAGGGTGGTGATTGTATACATATATATATATATATTTACATTTATGTATATATATATTATACACATCATATGATATTATATAATATTATATACAGTGTGTATATATATATATATTATATTTATGTACATGTATAACATATAACATATATATATATAGCCACACACACATGTACACATATCCATCCACCCGCCGACATAAGTTCCCCAGCATGTGCTACATGTGTCCCTCCCTTGATGGTGTTGATGGAGTTGACAAAGCTCACCTGCGTCATGGATGGGATCGCAGCCTTCATGAAAGTGGCACTGGAATATTGCTGAAATATTACCTCTCCAGCTACCTATATATGTATACACGTAAACATTACATGATTCTATATATATATAATTATATATATTGTTGAGGGGGCTGATGTTCGCCCGAAACTATTGGGTCCGGAATCAAAATTGAACAGCATAATACAAACAATCAAAACAATAAGGATAGGATATGGCCCAGAAAAAACACGGATAAAAGGAGTGGGAAATGGCCAAGAACAATGCAGAACCATTGCAACTATCAAAAAAGTGGAGTGTCAATCCAGAACAATGCTAACTCCAACATATGTAAAAACATTGGAAAACACATGGTGAGAAGACCAGAAATACCCTCTGGTAAACTAACAGATTGCTATTGAACATGGCCATAGAAATAGTTGATTTACCAATTAAACATGGTGATTTTCCATAGTTTCTTGTATGTTTACCAGAGGGTAAGGATCCTACTCATATCCTACTCACAACGGTCATCGAGTCAGCTCATCAACGGTCAGATGAGTCTGGTACAACGTCGCCCTTGGTTCCTTGGTTGAACATGTCATCTATAGACCATAGCAAACCCATAGCAAACCCCCAAAAGTATATAAACTAGGGTAAACTGCCATGTCTAAATAGAAAAGTAAACTAAGTAAACCAAGTAAACCAAGTAAACTACGTAAACTAAGTAAACTAAGTAACCCCACATAGAAAAGTAAACTAAGTAAACTCCCACTAAAATGACGCGGTAAGGTACTGTTGGTACTGTTCTATGTTAACAATCAACTGATCGGGGTCACCTGGGCAATTTTCGAGATTCCCAAGGTCGTGGAGCTTGGATATCTGCTTGCTTTGAAATCTATGAGGGAACTCCATCAAACCAGTCTGACTATTGCCCACGGTTATTTTGCGTCTAGGACTTCTATGTTTATTTGGGGGAGTTTGGATAAACCCCACGAAGCTTATGTCTGGTCTAGAGTGCAAAGCATGTGTTTTTGTTTGCATGAAGACACAAAATCCGCACAGCATGCGATCTTCTCTGATAGAAATTCTGATAAACATATGAGGGTAATGCCACAAAAGATAGAAAAGTGAATTATCACTATTTCGACAGGGGTATACTGTTATACGTTCTATCTATCTCTTTGGGGATAACTATAAACCCATAGAACCCCTCCATTTTTCTTAGACGTTGTTGACTCCAACATTTATAACCAGCAGCCCGGGAGACCAGCCCCCACCTGGTTGAAGTTGCCATCCTGCTGTCGGGATTGATATGCTGGGAAAGCATATCACCGGTTCTTGGTTACATAATATCCCATCTTAATCCGTCTTATTTGTCACTGGATTTATCATGTGTTGTCAATCATATTGTGTATTCTTATTATATTCTACAATCCTTCATATGTGTGATATGCCTAGTTAAAACAAGCATCCTAGTTGTTGGTTGCATACTAGTTGGTTGGTGAACTTTCCCCGCTTTTCTTTTCCGGAGATTCAAAGCAACCAAGCAGATTGAGTAATCGCATTATAATCTGGCTGGTGGTTGACCTACCCCTCTGAAAAATATCAAAGTCAGTTGGGATGATGACATTCCCAATATGTATATGGGAAAAAAAATCATGTTCCAAACCACCAACCAGTAATGTTTGCTGGTTCAAGGCTATATGTTTGAAACCACGAACGAGTCATCTTTGAGGTGCGACTGCAATTGTTGATGATCGAAACAAACACATGTTGGTTTGATGATCAAGCTTCCATTGGCCCCATTGGTTTACCATGATTGTTTGTTGGCTAAATCCGAGTGTTTCCCCATCTTCTAATGACGAATTCCCCAATTTTTGGTGATGAATTCCCCATGTTTGATGACCCAATTCCAATTTTAGATGCTACTTATACATAGTTGTAGAATATAAATGAATATAAAGCATCATGTAGCCACTGTCACAATGTTTGATTGTTGAATCTTACTTAATTTTCCATCATTTTCCCACCATCATCATTAAATGCTGTGTCTGTTTGTTCATCCAAATCAACAAATTCCGATCGTTGGACGTCAATCGCCATCTCCAACTTCTCGGATTCCGAATCCCAGCAGGTTTCGGTGACTTCCACGGCTCCCAGATCGGCTCCGAAAGGCTGAAGGCCACTTCCCAACGATTGCTGCATTTCTCGTAGATCATTTGGCCACCTGGCGAGTCAGCCAGGTGATGCAGCCAGGAAACCATGGGGACTCATGGGGATTGATTCAGCTGATTTGTTTGAATGGCGAGTCACCTGCCACCGGATGAGGCCCTGAAACTGAGTGTGGATCTAAGCTTGAAAGGAAGAGATTCAACTAATTTGACCAATGAAACTTGGATTTTCATCAAGTCAAGTGGAAGATTCTCCCACTTAGCGGATTAATGGTTACGAAGTCGATGAAGTACACGGAGTGGACTATCCCGTGAAAAAACGTGTTTTAGCTTTCTATGGCTACTGACCAGTTAAGTGGGATAATAATTCAAGCTGGAACTAGTAAATGAGCCTATTCTTACCAGTGGGTATAGTGCTCTGGGTGTACGAACTATTCTTTACCCACGGTAGTAACACCCACTGGTTGATTCAATGAAGTTAGTAGGTTGACTACTGCCCCGGGGTTCATGTGGATAGATGATAGGCATAGGGTTTAGGTTCGAAATGAGGCCTTATTCGTGGGCACCCCAAATTTTGGGTTTCTTTTTTAACGATCTTTTGCCTGACCAAAATCCACCTGGATCTGCATCCAGATTAGTCAGTGGTTTATAACTCATGTAAAACTGCGTTCCATGGTTGTATGGGTACTTGGATATACCCCGCAGCTTGAGGTTTATTATATATAGTAACGTTTTTTCTTTGTAGTCACCTCTTACTTATTTACTGGGATCACTCTGAAAGCATGAGTGAAGGTTGCCTAGATTTTCTGGTGAAGATCAGAATATCACCATTCTTACGGCTTATGACGGCTGGTGGCACCCTTTCTATGCTTCACATCCAATATTTTCCTGATCAATCTGCATCTGCAGAATACTTATCTGATCCCCAGTTATGTGATTGAATTCCCACTGAATTGATGATGAGATCCCTGTGCAGCTTTGGACGTTACAAACGGGCCGACCGGCTCCATCCGTGGCACTTCGAAGGAAGAAACCTGGGCATCATGGGGATATGATGGGTATTTTTCATTGAATATCTGGATGAACCATCCAGATATAATTTGTAGTTACCGACTGTAACATACTGCAATATTGAAATTTGATGTAAACTTAGGTGTCAATCAACATGAGTCACTTGTCTGAATTTGACTTGGTTGACTCATGTTTGAATGTTGGGTTTTGCCGACAAAGATGAGTCAAGAGCAAGTGACATATAATTATATAATTATACCTATATATAATATAATAATGTATCTTCTCTAGTTTAAAACATCAGGTTCCAGATATCTTCCAGATAGACATTGGATCTTTGGGCGCTTAACCACCAGTTCACCACCCGGTGATCCAACCAATTCTGCAAATTCACCAACTTGAGGATGGGGGATGGTCAGAACCAGCTGGAGCATGAAAACCTAATCTGAAGCAGTTGAGAGCGAGTTTCAAAATGAAACTATTTCAGTTACAAGGGTGGATCAACCATTTCATGGATTTTTTCGTACTGTTTCTATATATTTCTATATTATCTTTCGCATCATGAACATCCCAGCATTTTATGGATCAGAAAGCGGACACAGCGATTTAGTGAACATGTTATACCAAAGCAGGTCGGGTCATCCAGCTGAACACCTCTTACAAGGCGCCTTAGATCCACACAAGCTTCAGCGAACTTGAAGCTTTGGGGTCTGTCTAGCTGACCATGGTGAGTAAGAACCGAACCATTCTTGGATTGGTTCAAGGGAACCAACCATTTCGATATCATGCGAATAGAATGGGAATATCACTAACACGATGGGAAAATATTGGAAATAATTATCAGTGGATGGATTTGGGAAGGAAAGTGCTTAACTTAACCAGAAACCATGGTATTTTACCAGTAAATACAAGGGAAGTCCTGTAAAAGCGTCCCTTCCTTCAATTCTGAAAACCCAATAATGTCCTCCACTGGGACAAACAAATTGGGCCAAAAAAAAAGGTTTAGGTTGTTGTTAGTTACTGTTAGTTCAAGTCATACAAGTTTGATCATTAATTTTGTCCCATTTTAGTTGGCATGCTTTGTTCTTGCCCATCCATGTTCATGCTATGGTAGCCCTGCTGCAACCCAGGCGCCAACATAGTCTTGAAAGCTCCTCAGGGACATGTTCAGCTCACGGCAGGGGTGTGTGGGACGATCACAAAACACTAAAAAAAACAAAAAACAAACGGGTTTTTGCTGCTACGTCATTGAACATGGAAAACTTTCACTCTAATGTTCGATACGGCCAGTCTACCATAAAAAAACATAGTTCATCCAACCAACGTGATGGATTCATGGATCCATAGATCCATATGGATTCATGTTGGGGTGACACTGTGAACAGCACCGAAACCGAAACATGGCCTGACAACATCTGTAACTGCCCGTTTGAACAAATGGGGCAATGGAAAATATGTGCTGCATTCACTTTCTATAACATCTTGTAATTTTGTCTCACACTTGTCCTATACAGTATGCCTGAGAGAAGGTCAATGTAGTCATCCAGAACAACTTGGCTCATGGCTTAAGCTGCCACAGCATAAACACTGAACAAATCAGCGATCAGGGGACTTTCCGAACACAAGGTTGGTTGGTTCAGTGTGGAACCTTTGCAAATGACTAGGAATTCGGCCATAAGCCCATATGACTTGTGTGTAACTATAATACAATATATGTGGAGACGTTCGTATATAGACTACATGTATGTACATGTATATAATTGGTCATAATTTATAAATAATCCAGGTAGTGACCTTTCTTATCTGGCTGAATTCGTTTGAAATTGACATAAATTGACCAATCTGAAACAAGGCCATGAATGGATCCATTTCTGGGTGATTTACCTCCCTTGTCCTCACTTTGGTCCAAGGATCTTGATGGGAAGTTGCTTCCCATTCAGCACCACCTGCGCAGCACATGGCTTCGTCAATGGAGGATGACTAGCCCAATTTCTAGTTATTGTAATGGGAAGATGATGATTCACTAGACTTAGATGATTTCCAGTTATTGTAAATCTAATCTTATAATTTAGATTTAGACTTGGAAGATTAGAAGACTTAGATTTCCCGGAAACAAGCTAAGGTTTGTGTCTGACGTTCTATTTCTTGCAAATCACTACATTGATGACTAAAATGTTGATCCATGAGACAACACTACGAAGGTCTATCTAGAGTAACATAGATCATACAAGCACCATTATCACCATGTATACAGTACACTTCTTTTATTGTCCTTGTTGTGACTGTGCCCATCAAAGCATTGCCAGAAACATTGCAAGATTTTACTTTTAAGAATCACCATTTCTAGTCAAGTGTGTCTGAAAATACAGCTTCCCAAAAAAAAGAGATTGATCGTCAATCTCACCCTTGAAATACAACGATCATCATCTCATGATTGTTTGAGCATCTCCCAAAAAACTGTGACCACTGTGAGCATGTTTCTCAATGGATCTTCGCTGCCTTGATCCGGTTCGAGGTGGATGCGGCGATGTCGTAGACGCGCTTCATCATCAAGCTGCAAATGTCATTGTCCTGGGACGATGTTTTACAAGGCCTGGACAAGGCGTGGTTGTCCAACACGCTAAGCGCTAATTTTTCTTGTTCGGGAATGTTTGGTTATAGATGTTCAATGATTTTATAAGTGGCCCCAAACTATTCCAAAATCATATTGTTTGGATATCTATACAGTCTATACACTTCAATTTTCGCAGTTCCGGAACCCAAAAAACATCCAGGAGTGACATATTTCGCTTCGCCAGCCATCGGTGGTCTCGGTCCAGACCAGTCATCCCGAAACGGGAGAAGTCGGGAAAGAAGGTCACTTTGGTATATTCCTTTGGCGCATTGCAAGCCTCGGCTCGTCACGGCTCGTTTGGAAAGGCCGGCCCCACATCGATGGGGTGATCCACATGCTGGGGTGTTTTTTCATAAGCATGGTGGCCATTTTTAACGCCATCATGGGAAAATTCGCGTGATGTATCATGATGTTATTTCTGTGGAAACCAAATGAAACAAAACATGTCGGAGGCGCTTCCATTAATTACTCCCCTTTATCATTAATTATTCTCAGCTATTCTCATGGTCGAAAGTTTGTTAAGCTTTGTTTGTCTGAAAATAAGCTACCAAATAGGCTACCCCATCTGCTAATCTTCATGTTCTTTATTGAACTTGCTGGATCTATTTAGGAGGTATCCACTGAATCCACCATTTTCAGACACCAGCCATCCCCAGCCAGATCCCCAGAGATCATATTCCCGGGACCCAGGCAGTGACCACCGGATCATCCTTCTGCGTCATGTTCTTCTGAAAGACCTGGATCTGGATGGCAATGGATGGGATGCCCTGAGAAAACTGGCGCTTTGGCGGTTTTTGGTGTGTTTTTCTATGTGTTTTCTCGTTCATTGAAGGGAAGACTGTATATAAAGAAAACGGTGATTTTTACTGGAAAAAACAAGGAGGTGTCCTGCAAACACGTCCCTTCCACTTCGGGATTGGGGGATTCTAAGATGTACTGTAGATGATGTACACGCAGTACTGATGGATGGTGGTTCAGCCACCAATCACAAGAGTATGAAGTTCCTTGGGTTTGTCATCCTAAAGAGGAAAACTATAAATGTTTGATACCGGTGTGGGGGACCTTAACTTGTGACATCTTTGATCTCTACCAATGATCCCACATGGATATCCTGGATACCGGTAAATGTGGTATTTGTTGACTCCTATTACTCTGATTTCATATACTCAACATGACCACGGGTATTCTTTCATGATTCTTGTCGAACCATACCTACACAAGCAGTCTTCAGAACCCTCTGTCTTCATCTCTTTTTTCCGGTTGATTAATAGGGGTTCTCATGACGGGTCAGGATATTTCGAAGAAATCCAGGTGGATATACCATGATATACCCTTCCCAATATCTAATTCTGAGGGAATGATGCAAGGCTACGGTGTGGGCCACATCATTTTTTTACCCCATGGTTTCCAGGATGGGCATTCCAAGAATGGGACGAGTTTACCGGGTTTACCGTCCCCAAAATTGCCAACCCAACTGCCTTTGCGAGTTAGTTGTTGCTGCCCAAACCAAATATACAAAATGGATGAAAAGAGGTAGGTTTTACGGCCATGACTGTTTGGTACGAGTAAGATTCAGAATGTTCTGGCAATTTCTGGCATATGCTCATTTTTAAATATATGACCGGCCACGCGGGTGTGGTCCAAACAAGGGAAAACTCCAACATATAACTTTCATATAACCATGAGATTCGGGGGTACCCAGGTTTGAAACCAACCTATGCACTCTGTGTGAACCCCTTTGGATTGAGCCTGTGTGAACTTTTTCTTGTTGTTCTTGTCCACCTGTTGCGAGCGTTGGCGGTGACAGAACTATGGGACCAGGGTTGTTGTTTTGGGCTCAACGTCTGGTGTCATCGAACATGGTTTGTTGGGAAAACTTCTACAAAAATTGCATTTCGTATATGAGAAAATATGGAAAACTGGTTGGTGGTTTCAACCCCTCTGAAAAATATGAGTTCGTCAGTTTGGATGATTATTCCCAATATATGGAAAAAACAAAAATGTTCCAAACCACCAACCAGAAAATAGTATAAATCGGGGATGTTGCAACTCGCCATGTTTGATCACCGGTAAGTCGTCCGGTGTGGGATCAAACATGTTGAGCCATACAATTGAAAACCACAATATACGGGATATGTGGGATATGAAGGATCTCAAAGGCATTGCATGGACCAATGGAATTGAAATAAAAGTAGGGTCTTCCACTTTCAACTCTGTTTGAGACAATCATACAAAGTGGGGCCCCCTAGATAGCTAAGTTGGTGCCAATAACTCCAATAACTATGGTTTATGGTACGCAAATAACATCTTATAACGAACTAATATTGGGGCGAATCTAAACCAACTTATAACTAGGGGGCCCCACATTGTAGAAGTGAACATTCCGATTTTTCCAAGAGGAACGCCGTATTCAGATCAACATCGAAGCTCATGAAATCTGCAGCCCTGCTGGTTTCAGAAGCCCCAGTTTTTGGAGAAATGTGCATGGTCAAACAACAACAATGACACCACCAACATCCACCAAGCACTAATGCTCGGAAATATACCCTGGGCTAAACGTTTACATAACTATGGAAAATCACCATGTTCAATGGGTAAATCCACTATAAATGGGCCATTTTCGCTATGTTAGTCATTACCAGAGGGTAGGGACCTGGCTAGTCCTGCACCCCGGGCCCCAGGGATCCCAGGGCCCCAGGGCACGGTTTCGATGATGAACTTCTTACTGAAAACGTTGGTCAACTTGGCCCCGTACCTTGCGGGAAGTGCGCGACGGGACTGTGTCCCTTTTCGACAAGACCTCTGGGCTAATTGGTTGTATGATCACTGCTAGTGCATGTTTCAGAGGCTTACACTATCTTACACTAGCATTCCTGTTTTTACTTAGTCAAATTTATTCTTGTGGTCAACAGCCCTGGTCCATTGGTTGGTCGGTCAAATCATTATTGCAATCCCATTTTGATTGAATTAACATTATGGAGATGAGCATCCCGTTTCGGTTTGTTCACATCCCTATTTTCATTGGCTAACACACTGTTTTTGTTGCTTGGCATATCCGTTTTTGACTGGTGACAGTACATCCTATTCACAATCACAATTTTTGCTGCCGAACATCCTCATCTTTCGACTGGTTGACATCCCCATTTTGTTCGACTGGGCGCACCCATTGCGACCTCCCGTGACCTTCTTTTCATTGTCATCCTGAGAGCCAAGTCATTGGGTCTCACTGGCATCACCTATCGGATGGTCGTCCCGACTTGGGTGAATTCATATTATGAAATCAATTGAAATCCATGGTGAATACGTATCTAACCTATCGGCATCCAATTTTTTGGGTGCAGTTTTAGAGTTTTCAGAGTCTAGGGGTATGATTCATCGACAAAACTCCTATCACACTCTTTCAGTAAGGGCTCACCCAATCCACGAACCAGTTACCAGCTTCAGGCTGGCGGCTGATTGCAAGCGACATCATCTTTTTGCTGTGGGAAACGGTAACATTCTTTGCTGTTTGCTTGTTTGTTAGGCTTTGTAGCACCTCCCTCAATTAACAGATAGAAAAGTTGGACACCTGGAAATTACACGTAAACCATGGTAAAACATCATCGAATTACCGTCCATTTGAAATACACATATATATATATATGTGTATATATATATATATGTTTTCAGGACCCCTGAAAAAATGAAGTTATGAAGGTCATCAAACCTGAGTTCCCCCGGCATAGTTGTCGCTGGTCAGCAAGTGACCAAAGATCAGCTCAGGCACATAGCACCTGTGCATCAATTGCTAGGTGCCGGCTCTACTTTCCCGAGGATGGTCCACGTGTTTGATGAGATTAGTTTATGAAGGGAATGGACACATCGATATACTGACCTGTAGCAAAAAAATATCTGAACCTTAGCAGTTCCAATATTCCAAACGGAAGCCAGACAGAGGGACCAGAAAACAGCAAACGATGCCTTACTCCGCTTCAAAAAACAGCAGCAACTTTGAAAAATCATCCTACTCCATCCAAACTGATTGAATTTGAGAACAACTAAACACTTATAACTGTTTTGTTTTACATGTTTGAACTATATAAATCTTTTTGAAACAAACCTGTTTTTATATGTTGAACTCCCATCCGTTCAACCGATGCCTCTCGCGCTGTTCACATTTGTTCACCCCGCGCTGTAAAAACCCAGGATTCCGGGCTTGTGTTCCTTGTGGATTTGCACAGGGATGCCCTGACCATTGTTCAAGACCTCAGAGGACTGGGAAATGGACAATTTTTTTCTATGGGAAATTCCTATGCTTTTGTAATGGAAATGGATGTTTAGGAAATGGAAATTGTTGTTTGTTTTGATGGAAATTCCTATTAGCAGTGTTTTTTGATCGGACATGGGAACATCATTTGTGCTATACAAACGTGGCTAGCTGGAAAATCCTCGGTTGAATGGTGTTTTAATGGGAAATCATTGAACTGAATGGGAGGAATTTCCAGCAGGCCATGTTTGAGCGCCAGATAGTAAGTCAAACAATGTCAATAGCAAAGTGAAAAACATTTGCTGGGAAAAATAAAAAACATGAACATGTCTCGATTCCTTAAACATTTCGCTGAAACCAATGCATTGATCTTTGATAATGACAAATGTACAATCTCTTCATTCTTTGCGTTGAAAATAAAATCTACATACTCTGGAAATCAACTGGTTGGTAAACAGTCTGATTTATGGTAGAGTGAAATTTGAAACTACCCTTTACCAAGGTTTATCATTGGTTTATCCAGACTCGGCTTCCCTGCGGTGATGGAGTTCGTTTGCCGGTCGATGGTCACATCAATGAGATCCATGTTCTGGTCATGGCAGGTGGCGACCCTCTGTTGTGGTTGTCACTGAAATATCACAGCTTATCCTGACGCTCGGAAAAAAAAGTAAAGGCATGATTTGGCATGATGCATACATAAACATCCCATGTTTGAGGGAAAACGAAACAATGTGTGAAACCACTGAAACCATCTGAAACCACCAATCAGTTTTGAAATAGACTTATAAATACATATAAATACACTCATGGACCGAAAAACACACGACCACCTTAAAAAGGCAATATCAAGAAATCAATTCCTTAAGCTGCCCAAGTTCTCCCCAACAAATGCGTTGGAGCGGCTTGGAGGACAAATGGATGTATGGATTATGCAGGATTTGTCCAACTACCAAGGGATGTTACCCTCTGGTAAATTAACATAACTATGGAAATTCACTATTTTTAATGGGAAAATCCACTATAAATGGCCATTTTCAATAGCTATGTTAAATTACCAGAGGGTAGTTCTGTTACAAAATCTCTCGAGTGGCAGCGTTCATGGCCTGTTCTGTATTCAAATACAAACCCAAGATATGAACATCGCATATGTAGCTACCAGCTACCAGTCACCAGTTGAGGTTGACAAATGTGTCTGGAATTTGCTGAAGTGGCACAGAAGAGAAATGATGAATTAAATGATGTTCCTTAAAATCAACACTTTTCATCCCAACACTACACGTGATCAGTTGTCATGTATCGTATCCAAATCCATTAACAAGAGGTGAAACATGTCTCATGTGTGTCAAAATCCTTTGACTTTATGACCCAGTGCTTCACCAACATGATCCCACATTGAAGTATGGGTCAAAACTGAAATCTTTGGGTCTCCCAGCCCTCAAAGTTCGGTTTGGGTCTTCAGCATTCGACGTTTGGGTAATCTTAACCGAGGACGAGTCAACCTCTGGGTTGCTGCTGCGATTTCCCCTCGAGTCACAAAGTAGGTACATGAATTTCATGCACTTAGAATATCTTCCAAGTGTCAAAAGGTACAGAAGGTTTCTTCCAAACGAAACATAATCATTCCAAAATGATGTCCAATATTGTCCAATGATTCCGCAAATACTTCCACTTCACATTCCACAGAATCATGAATGTGGGTAAAACGGTAAAACAATGCCATAAACGACCCATGACCGGGAATGGTTTGTAGCACCTATCTATTCATGGTGATGACAGGGGGATGGTGCAAATGACATTGTTTTAACCACATGACCTCAACCCCAAAGCCCAGGAATGCCCGGGATATCTACCTTGGTGTCTCGCTTGGAGTTGTCTGCGGCGTTCACCAGGATTTCATCGAAGATTTTGTACAACGCCGGGACCTCGAACCGAAAAAGGGGGGAACGTTGGACCGTTGGACCTCAAGAAACATGGCAACAGTTACCCTCTGGTAAACATAGAAAAAACTATGGAAAATCACCATGTTTAATGGGTAAATCAACTATAAACGGCCAGTTTCAATAGCTATGTTAGTTTACCAGAGGGTATATAACAGATTGATATGATGATATCTACCAAAATTGTTTGGTGAAGTGATGATATGCATACGACAAAAACAATGGTGAAGTGATGATGTTTGGGCCACCAAGGATGATGATGTCAAGCCAAGGACTGCGTAATTGTGACAAAGCATGTGTCATCATCAGGGTTGCAAAGTTGTACTGCTCAATTGACAAAACAAAGAACACAATAAGAAAACATAAGAAAACAATCTTTGACTTACTGGTGCTAAACGCAGAAAATAATCTTTGATCTTTGACTTACTGGTGCGTTTTACGCAGGGAATGGATGGGTTGCTGGGGGTTGCTGGGATGATGACTAGTGAAACTAGTGATGACCCTTGGATCATTCCCTGCGAGTCACGGGTCCCAATGAATCCAAGGGATTTCCAATGGCATGGCTGAACACCTGGTCCTTGCTTCACTGTTCATCAAAATTTCCCCACGGTTTCAACGAAAATGATCCTTAATGGCCAGTCAACCTTGACCCAAACCACACACAGATGTTTCATTCAAGGCACATAGTCGATCTTCCGGTGCACCATCTGTCCCTTGGCCTGTGGGGTGTCGTGCCGCTGGGGGATGTGTTCGACCTCAAATCTCTATATTGCTTTTGGCATTTGTTTCCACAAACAAAGGGAACATAGTCCTCTTTCAGAAGTTTCAATATTGGGCAGCTGCCCTTACCTTGCCTTAACTTTCTTTGATCTCCGGACAGTCATGTTCTTGGCTGCGTCACCCTTGACACCAACAGAAGTGAGATTATAATTGCATAACAATTATCATCATTGTATTGTTCACCTCGAAAATCTTTGAAGCTGCCAGAAACTGCGGCAAGTTACACAAGATCCAGCATGTCCCACCCGGCATTTTGATCCACCCGGGACCCGACCTCATCAAAGACCCACATCTCTTGCAGCTGGTGTTCCGTGGAACCTGGGATCCGTTGAATCCGTTGATCGCAAAAAGGGCGTGTGGTCACATGAAACATGGCTGAAACATGCCTGAAACATGGCTGAAACATGGCTGAAACATGGCTGAAACATGCTGAAACTATCCTTGTTGAGAAAATGCTGAAGAGAAAATGATTGGAAACTATACTTAAGGTGATATGATGATATGTGATCATCATCACTGCTGTTTTTTCCCACAGCTCTCGCAAGATGGACCATCCCATCTGCACAAAACCCACAGCTGAGGTCAAAACCCACATAGGTGTCCTCAGCTGTGGAAAGTGATTTCTCAGATGATACCACATGGTATCTATAAAACCATAGTCATAATTGGATATAAAACCATAGAGGTGGGTCATCGATAGATTTTCCATGGACAACTTACCTCCCCAGTAAGTTGGAAAAACAAACCACTTGAATCACCATGGTTTTATATCCAAGTATGACTGTAACTGCATCTGCAAGGATAGTATCATTCATATATTCAAATAGATTAGGGCAAACTCACAAAAAAAAAAACAGTCTGCACAAGGTTGACGGCGCCCGGCTCAATGTTTCAACCGGAAATTGGAGATCTAATGTAGACATTGTATGCCATAGCGGTATTTTGCTGTGCAACACTTCCTATTTTCCTACTTTTTGTATCTTTTTGTATACGTCATCCAAGACCTTAATGTAAAAATCGAGCGATTCTATAATGCAACACAAATGCAGGGATAAATTGTGTGACATCTCATCTGGCTGTATCATAATATTATGATGATGTAATAAACCACCAACCTGAAAAACGGTGATTTTGAGATGAATCCCCTTACAAACCACTATTTAGGGCAAGCTGGTTGTGAATGTGCTAGGTAAACACTCTACATGAGTAGTTTCGTAGTAGCTTCGTCCGATTGATGTCATGAACATACAACGCAAATTATTTTCTATAAAACTTCAAATTTAATGGTTGATCGTCATTTCCCTAAAACATGTAACACATCTTATAAACAAAGCCATAGTTGACTAATGTTGACTATATATATATTATATTTACTGAATGTAGACCCGCTAAATCTCCATGATATATCATGATATCCCATTGGTACAATCCTCATTAAAGCATGAATTCCGAAATTAATTGGTCTACTGCCGGCATTTCGAAATCTGAGAATCAACGCAGCCCAAGCTACAGGTCGCAAAAGGATGTGCTCCAGCTGCGTCTTCTTCCTGGGACAAAACAACAGCCACCTGGACATAGTAACCCCCAACAAAATAGAACAGTAAAATCCTACTAAAATATACTAAAATAGTGATGAAGTACTTTTCTATCTTTTTGGGGGTAACCAAGAGTTGTAATAATTCACCAACCAGAAAAGTTCGGCCATGTGTGGATTTTTTTACCCGAATCCACTTCCCCGTCATTCCAGTGAGGTCACGATGTAAGTTCATTGTACTTTTTCCAAATGGCCAGGTGAATGGGGAAAATGATGGTCAACTTGGCCAACCTTTTTTGGTTTTGGGGGTGCTGTGCTACCAAATTCGATGTTTTGTTACAATTGGCATATGCCCATGACCCATTTTCAGAAACACCCAGTAGTGATTCAACCAGATAAACAAAAACATCATTTCACCAGGACACTTTGAGTCCACAACAACCAGAATCAACCAGCCATTTCGCGATGGTTTCTATATGGGCCAAGTCATGGGTTTTGATTTCGAAAATATGATATGGATTTGTCTGAAAATAGGGTACCCCTAAATCTGCTGGTTATATATCATCATTTTCCCCATTCACATGGTTGTTTGGGGGTATAATGCGGTATACCCCATTTTCGAACACACCCAAATGGACGTGTCTTTACCAGCCTGATCTAGGGCAATGAAGGGAAACATCTGAAGGGACCAAGAGTCGAAGAACCAGTACACTCCACACTTTACACTCCACACTCTACTTTACACTTTACACTCCACACTCTACACTCCACACTCTACACTTTACACTCCACATTTTCCATTTTACATTTTACACTTTACACTCCACACTTTGCACTTTACACTTTACACTCCACACTTTACACATTACACCGAACCGTTAAAGGCGACCAATTTAACAGAATTGTGTCAAATCTCATTGGGACGCCGTTGGATCAGGAAGTCAAATAAGTTGACCAAAAGCAAGGTCAACCCCAATGGGACGCCGATGTACGACAAACTCTGTTTTGGCAAGTTTTGCTGTGTGAAAGATGAGGAAACACCTTGTGGACGCAACTCCCAAAACATCTTCAAAGTGGTATTAAATACAACAAAAAACACACATGTCATATTGGGACGCCAGTGATTCACCACATGTAGATTGCAAGTGATCACAAGAAAAGTTGCTTTTACCTGTTGGATTCTGTAGGGACACGGTTAGCTGTTTCGAACGACGTCCGAACGACGCCCGAACGACGTATCGAACGACGTCAAAGGGTATCAAAACCTAGACCTTTGGATTCATTTGCTTTCATGTTCCTTTCATTCTCCTTTTATTTCCAATATATGAAACCTGAACATCATGCGATCATGAAAACATGGTATAGACACAACCTAAATACGAAGTCACACAAAATCGCTGGCAATGCAAAACCCACGAAAAAGTCAACAAACTGAAAAAAAACTAATTTGCTAGACACAAACTGGACACAACATTGGTCAACTTTAGAAGTTGCGTGCGCGCAGCTGGGACGCTCATTCATTGAAATCGTTCAACTTTAACAACTCAGTGTACTCTCCACACTCTACACTTGAAACTCCACACTCCACACTCTACACTCCACACTTCACACTTTACACTTCACACTCAACACTCCACACTTTACACTTTACACTCCACTCCACACTCTACACTTTACACTCCACACTCTACACTCCACACCCTACACACTCCACACTCCACACTCTACACTTTACACTCCTCGCTTTACATTTTACTCTTTGAGCTCCACACTCCGCACTCTACACTTTACACTTCACACTCCACACTCTACCTTACACTCAACACTTTACACTCCACACTTTACACTCCACACTTTACACTTTACAATCCAAACTCTACACTCCACACTCTACACTTTACACTCCACATTTTACATTTTACACTTTACACTCCACACTCTGCACTCTACACTTTACACTCCACACTCTACACTCCACACCCTACACACTCCACACTCTACACTCCACACTCTACACTTTACACTCCTCACTTTACACTTTACACTTTGAGCTCCACACTCCGCACTCTACACTTTACACTTCACTCTCGACACTTTACACTCCGCACTTTACACTTTGCACCCACACTCTACACCCCACACTTTACACTTAACACTTTACACTCTACACTTTACACTCCACACTCGACACTCCACACTCTACACTTTACACTCCACACTTTACACTTTACACTCCACACCACCCCACTCCACTCCACACTTTGCACTCCACCCCTTTTCTACATGCCACAGTCTGCAGTGCACTGGTACAGTAACAGGGGAAGCATTTACAAGACTGTTCAAATAACCCTTTTCACAAAAGTGTTTTACGTGAGTGCATTCGGTATCGTGGGCTGCATCTTGTTGTGCTTGTCCACCCCAGTGTCAACATAAAAAATTGATCTGAGCGGCTGGTAAATTTGCTCGATGGTCTTGCCCTTTCTCAGCTGCTGATTCCTAGAGATGGAAGGTAGGATGGGGAAACGTGCAGTCCTTTGGGTAGACCCAGAAGAGTATAGTCAGTTTAGTTGCTTGAACGGACGATTGTCCATAGTAAGGTTGTCTCACTTGGGAGTATCGCACCTTTTTCGATCAACCGGTCGGCAACCTTGCCAAAACAATTGAGCATCGGTCGGTCAGTAGGCTCAATGGGCATTTTTGCATGTGTTTGACAATATTCATTGAAGTGGATGAACACTATTCCGTTTTATTTCTTGTCCTGCGTGTTTCTGTTCGATCACAATTGTTTACCTGTATAAGAAAGCAAATTCTGGTAGATTTATCCTGCCGATGCACTCGGCATGTCAACTTGAAACCATGAACCCATTGTTGCATCATGCTGCATCATACGGCAAAGAAAACACGGACAGTATCCTTTGTGTTTCTACCAGTTTTGTAAACGATGTGAGCTGGAAGTTGGTGCGACGATCATTTTATTAAACAATAATAGACTCATGTCTGCACATGAACGACATCATCCATTGACTTTAATGTGGGTGAAACAATAATAACCATCCCCCAAATCACATTTTTTTTTAAGGTGGTATAAATATAAACCATTCCCAAATGGGTGGCTTATTGTTGTTTTAACCACATTTCTTTTGGAACCCCAATCATGGGTCCTGTTCCCATGCCCATGTTCCCATGAAGCGCTTCACCGATATGCCCTGGTATGTCCCCCGCGATATGCCATTTTTTCCTCGGCCCCCATTTCCACCATACGTTCCAAAACCACATGAATGCATCAATATTTGTCCAATCAATAATTTACCATCAATAATTGTCCAATGTATTTCCACCATACGTTCCACCATATTTTCCAAAACCACTTAGTTCATTCATGTCAAAGATTGTCCACATATATTGGTACCAATTTCCAATGATTTCCAGCGGGTTGAACATTCCCATAGTATGGATGGCTCGAACTTATCATGCGATCCACTGCGGCTCCCAACGCCCTGGCAGGGCAGTTCTCCGCCTGCTGAGAGGGTCAGGGGGGTGATGGTCAGAAACAGGCACTCTGCTCATATGTGGTTATAGATTCTGTAAATATATATATATATATATTGTTCATCTAGTGCAACCCCAGGACATGCATATAAATCAAATACATGCATACCGTACATGCCACATGACATGCGTACCTATGTTTATGCGCATCTTAAATCATCTTAGTGGCCTGGCCTCTATTTGATTTTAAGTTATTTTAAGAATGTCCTAGGGCCGGGCGTTTCCACTGGTTTACCCCTCTGCGAGAGGGACCATCTGTTGCCGCCCACAATGCCAAATGTTTAGATCTTCATCCTATCCAGGAATTTATTGACTGAAACGGTTCTTATGCCGTCATCATAATCATCAGTTCATTTGATGCTTGCACCCCCTCCAACTGTCTGCTTGCATATGTCCAACTTTTCTTGGACTAAGCACCTGCTGGTATGGCAAGAATGTCTGGATGGTGAAAAATAACATTACAATTCCAATCATTGCGTAATGCATGGAAGTAACACATTTGTACATGGCGAAGCCTTTAACGCAAATTCTCCCCAAATCAAACAGCGCACTTTGCCTAGAATACCATGCAAACAAAAAACACTTTAATGACCTTAATGTTGGATTATTTCGCAATGCTGGCTCTAACCAACCATCTTGACACAACAGTCCCCAGGGACCACTGGGTTTCCAGTCCATGTCTTGACACAGCAGCTGTTGCGCTTTCCCCAGAAACGTAATGACGTTGAACCAAATAAGCTGCAACGTTGGGTTTGTCCGCTTGGTGCATCCGAAAATCCAATGGTAGATCGTCATTTGGTGAGAAAAGCAGGAAATGGTTTTTGTATGTTTTTGTGGTATGACTATCGCATACCCAAAAACTCAGCATCAACAGTGATTCCCCGGAAGGGGTCTTCAATCCGAAAACAAGACCTGGATCGAAAGGTACGTTGATTCAGATACGCACAAATATTGTGTATCTCTATGTGTATACCATGTCTGCGTGTATCATGTGTCATCAGATCTCCACAAGGAACAACACAACATGCAAGCTGAATCTACACAGATTCATCCCCAGCTGAATCTACACAGACCTTCTCAGACCTCCTACTGCACCAGGGGGCACAAATTGTTAGGTCCCTTGTGTTCATATCCAACATATTCCCAACCCTCATGACATCCAAAATGTTCGACTTTTCTCTCCCTGAACTGCTGCGGAGGGTTGGACTTCATCCTGCCACGGGAACATTTCCCCTGGAACACCTCTGGGTGCTCAGCTTTTGCAGCTGTATGTTCTTGTTTGTGATCCCCTTAAAAGAGTGGTCATACAGATTCAAAGATCCCATCATTGGGAATTAGATCATATTTGGGAACTTTCATTGAACGAAATGCAGCCTTTGTGAGGAATATGCCAAGCATTGCCAAGCATTGCCAAGCTCTGCTTGTGGCGGTTTGCCCAACCTGGAACAGGATTGATCGTTTCGGAAGGTTCCAGGCCAGAATCTTTGGGGCGAGGAGCAAAATTTTGGGTACCGCACCCAATTTGCAGACACACCCCATAGTTCCCCACAGAATGATACAACATCATGATATAACATCGATGTACTACATGTAGATTCTTTGTGCATATATTCATATCTAGAGTCATTTGCATACATGCACATTCTCATGTGACACGTAAAGCGGAGCCTTTCTAGAGCATCCTATTTGGGCAGCTGCGCTGCCATCAAACCCCTTCCTCGACAAAAAAATCGTAGTTTCTGCCATGGACAAACCCTTTTGATCAAGGGATGCCCTTGGTAGAAAACCCCAAGCTGTCCGTTTTTTTTAATGGGAGGGGGTGCTGTGAGCGCCAAAGTTTTGCATGTTTGAAATTTAATTATTGCAAAAACATATTAAAACCTATTTTTCCAAAACCGAACACTGCTGCTTCTGCAACAGAAGCAACCACTGTGCATTCAGAAATCTCTCCCAGGTCATACATAGATAATTAGATTCATAGACATAGATTTAACCAAAACAAACATGAATAATAGATCAAAACAGCAAAACAAACAAGTGCAAAAGGCCTTTGCAAGGAGTGCAAGAATTGCTTTAAGAATCTACAGACTCCACATCTCTATACAAGAGTTTCCCTCAACATACGCAATAGTTCTTTAAAACATGTGCATTCTAAATTCATGCAACATGTCTTCTATATATAAAGAATGAAGGACACGTAAATTTGCAAACAACACTTGTAAAATGACTTTGCGTAAAAAAACACCATTCCTAAATGTATGCAACAACCCTTTGCAGAAACTGTGGTGGCATTGTTTGAAAGATAAGTAGCATTTTGAACATGTGCATTTTAAACAAGCACCAATTCATGCAATATGTTCTCTAAAAAATAATAAAGGAACAATAATTAACCAAGCAGTACATGTAAAAACGACTTTGCACACAAACCGCTATTCCTCAATGTGTGCAACAACCCTTTGCAGAAAATGGTGCTTTCTTTGAAAGATGTGTAGCATTACTTCCCAATTTCAGAGGGAACCCTCCTATTTGTGTACTGAACAAAGTCAGAAGTCATAGCATTCCTGTAGGAGAATGTAGCATGCTGTTTTGCAAGATTGAATTTATGTTTAAACTACTAGCAGTATGGTTTTGAAAATAATGCCACCTTACTGTCAAACGGCCCCTCAAACCTTGCAAAACCTTTGTCAATAAAGTGGCACATTCATTGACACATGTGTTTTACATCTGAAAGTGTAGATTCTTGTTTGAAAAGTGTGCAGCATTCCTGTAAGAAAGTGTAGCAAAAGCCTACTGTAGATTCCATTAAGGTCCATTAAAAAAAATGTGTTTTGTTGTAAAGCAAGTGCAGCACCAACTTTTGCAACGTGTCCTTTCAAAGAGTACAGCTATTCTATGGAGTTTTTTTGTTTTGAAAAGGGTGCTATGTCACTTGAAAAAGGTCTTCAAAAAGTGGAATATGTTTTTAAACACAGTAGAGTATTGCTTGGAACCAAGCCAAGCAAATTGTTTGCTGTAAACAAATACTACGTGCCTATGCAAAGAGTGATTATCTGCAATATCTCTGTCAAACTACCGCAGCATTTGCTTGAAAAGATTGCCATGTTACTGCAAACTGTGCAAAATGTGTGTCAATCAAGCAAAGCCTTCCTATGGAAGATTATCATATATATATATGTACTTTTGAAAATTCAAGAGTTTCTTGGCAAATCTGTGAAGCATCCCTCCAAGAAAGTGTAACATGAGTCTACAGCAGATTCCATTGATGATGCAACAGTGCTTGAGAACATTGTGATACTACTTCAGCAGAGTGTACCATCATTTTTATGCAACATGTGTTTCAAAAAGAACAGCAATTCTGCAACAAAAGTGTTTCAAAAAGAGCGCACCATGAAATACGCAAGTGGTCATTCAGCAAAAACCTCTGTGAATGCAAACCATTTGTTTGAAAAATGCATTTGTTTGCCTAAGAAAATTTTGCTGTGTATACAATGGGCCTATGAAAACCAATGGTGTTTTCTTATTACAAGAAAGTGTTACATTGCCATATCTTTCAGGATCAATTTTGATAAATCCAAAACAAATCAAAACCCAAAAAAAGATTTGGCAACTAGTCCAGAGACCAGAGTAGCTGGGAAAACATGTTTTTTGGGGTTTTGTAACCATCGAAGCAAACAAAAGGCAGACAAATTAAATGCCAATAGATCCAATAGTGTAGGCAATTCTTGAGACAATCGAAGCAGACAAAAACCCAAACACACGCTTTAAACACCCAAAGTGGTTCATCTTGCTTACAAAGGGTGTTGTGAACACAAAAGACAGTAGATAACATCCAAAAAATATCCCCTAAATGCCTAGGCCTAAATAGTGTTTTTTAGAGCTCACAACACCCCTTTCAGTTTTTTTTTATATTTGTCCCGCTTGGAAAAAGACCACCTATAGTAAAAACATCCGGATAGTTTGTATTGAATACATGAAATCATGTCTGATGGTTTCGTTTACACAATATCCAGAAAGTGATCCTGCGCGGAATGTATCTTTTATTATTCAAACTATGGCTCAAAAAGGACCCATTGAGCAACTTTGGAGCAAGGACTAAGCGTACGTGGGATTGTCACCCAGGTAGCCACAATCGGGACACTGAGGTCCCCACAACCACTAGATCACTAGGTCTCCAGTCCATGTCTTCACGTTGCGCTTTCCCAGCATCAAAGTTGAGCCGGACAAGCTGCTGGTTGATGTTGGGGAATCAACAAGGCTGGCCGACTGGCGGATCAACCACAAAACCCGTGGCATCGTTCCGCTCGAGTCAAAGATCAACAGAACGGGGTAAAGGGTATAGCACAATTTTTGGGAGAACAAGGTGTCAAAGTTCAAAACAATGCATGTCATCATGATTCCGTCAGAAATCGCACAACATACGACACACATCGTCACACTATGTACAGCAGTGTGTAAGGGGGAATAATTAGAAGTATAGGGTCAACCCTTTCAAACAAAGCTAACAGCTACTGCTGCTTCCAGATAGCACTTATTCAATGAAGCATTATTGATCCTCATTCGATTTGAACCATTTGAAGCCAAACCTCCTACCAAACTGTGAGATCTGCCCAACTTTTGTCTCGCTGCACGAAGCGAGCGGGGAAATGAAGCATGGACTTCGTTCTGGTGGCAGCAGCAGCATTTTAGATCCAACATGGAGGTTTCCATAACTGGGGGTACCCCAAAATTCATGGTGCATAATGGTTTGTAATGGAAAATCATGGAAAATCCCAATCTGAAATGGATGATGACTGGGGGTACCGCCATGACTTTGGAAACCCCCCATATGATCCAATCACTGGAAAGCCTAAGGAGTTCCAACGAAGTCCAGACTCTGGGAGGAATCAGGCGCGGGTCAAATCCTTTGGCCAGTGGCAGCTTGTCCCACCTGGCGGCTTGAAGGCTTGTGCACTGTTAGAGGCCAAATTCATTATCCAGTGTCATATCATATCTATCTATTATACCTGTATAACGTGTTTTTGATGAAACAATGCATATACCTATATATATTAATAATACTAATATGTATAATATATATATACATACGTATACATATATATATATATATATACAGGAATATAATGTGCAACCTTCAGCATCTACAGCTCATTTTGGTATTCCACATTGATCTAAATTGATCCAAGGATTTTGTCATTTGCAAAACCGTGAGAGGGAAACGGACGCACCAACCAACCATCCCATGGATGCTTTCTCTGTATGGTCAAACATGGATGCATTTGAATCCCTGTTTGGTTTGGTGGGGAAACACTACCCCATTACAGTAGCAAGTGTAATGACTGCGGCTGGGACCATTCCAAATATTGATCAGCCAGAGTTGACTAGTTGCATCATTCTCTGGAGGTGTGCGCGGGGTGATCCCGTGCAAAATCCCAATGACACAACGACTATCCAAAGGTGACCAAGCTGAAGAGTTCGGGTGATGCTGGGGCCCTCAGATGGTGATCGCAACAAAACACGATGCATAGTCACATGTCTGTTGTTTTTTGTTTAATCAAATCACATTCTATCATATTATATACCCATACAATCCCATACATACATCATTATACCACCATGCTTGAGTGTTAAACAACCTATGTTTTCTTTCATCGTTTTTCAGATGATTGGTAAGTTGCTGGCCTTGTACCAACGCTTCTTTTTGGACTTCATCAACTTCAAGGTCAACTTCTGACTGCCGAAACGTCCAGTGGTGGCTTTCAACTCCAACAGGCTGTCCTGGCAATGCTGGATTTCGGTTAGGATGTCCCAGTCCTGAGTGTTAAATCCAGTTCCTTAGAATTCAAAAGAATTTATTAATATATATATACCACTTACTGTATCTGTAGTTCTCTTATAATTCGTAGTGAACCGTTCAGGATTCAACTTGGCTTTCCGGATTGCTCTTTTCGAAAAACCGTGCCTCCGGGACAATCTCACCGCTCAAGGGTGTGATGACCATCTTCCACAGGTACAAGTCCTGGGTTAAAAAACGGGCTGCCCCAGGTGCCCGAAAAAGGGGACCGGAAAAACACTGGGAATCACTGGGACCGGAACCAAGATTTCCGAAGACTGGTGCTGCTACAAATGTACATCTTAGCAACAAGTTGCTTAGAAATGGTTTAAGTCGGGTTAACCCATTATAACATATTATAACATATTATAACACAAAAAATCACTAACTGGGCTTTTTTTACTGGGCTTATCACCCAATAACTCAACACATTGCGCCGCACACTTGGTGCCCTTGGCCTTGGCTCCATAGGAGCCAGGCGCCACAATGTGCAGCTCCAACCTGGTGCAGCTGGTGATTCTTGCTGGTTGCAATCAACTAATCCGTCGGTTTTTTCAAGTCCAATCAAGTCCAATGACTGGTTGGTGGTATACCTACCCCTCTGAAAAATATGAGTTCGTCAGTTGGGATGATGACATTCCCAATATATGGGAAAATAAAAAATATTCCAAACAACCAACCAGACTTTGACATATTTACAGAAACATAGCAGATCTGCTTGTTGAATGACTTTTTTGGATCTCCCAAGAGTGATGTTCAAGTTGAGATTTCCATTCCCTAGTCTGAACTGTAGCAGGCTGAAACCAGGTAGACCCCTATCTGGGTCAAAACTTGTTGAAAAATCTTGTTGAAAAATCTGAACTTAGTTTCAAGGCCCATGTTGCACTGGAGTCTCTGCACTTATTCCCCTTCGCTTGCTACAGTAGTTTCCAGTTACTTTTTGATGAGCCCGAAGCAGCCCAAGAATAACGAAGTTTGCGTGTTTGTTTTGCAATCTGGAAGTAAAGAGGCCCGGAACATCATGCGGCAACACCTTCAAGATTTGTAGGTTCGATTCTGCCTTTTGTTTAGATACCAAATGTGAACCAAACATGGCAGTGGAAACTCACCCCAATGTTGCGTGTTTCAAGCTGGGAATTCACTTGTCATGTTTGTTTCCTGGAGGGTGTAGCAATCTGCATGATGGGTATATAATAGTCTGAAATCTGTTGGTGATTTATCCCCGGTGTCAGCAATGTAGAGTCATCTCTTCTTCCCAACATCTCTGTTCTTGCTCGCCATCTCGTCAATTCATTGCTCCAAAAAAAAGTTATTGGATGTTATTGGTTGAATCAGAACACCATTTTGTCCATGGTCCAAAAAGTTTTCTCAAAATCCAAAAACCCTCAGGTAAACGTTTACATAACTATGGAAAATCACCATTTTTAATGGGAAAACTCACGAAATAAATGGCCATTTTCAATAGCTATTTTGACATAACCAGAGGGTTGTTTGTTGCTTGGCTCAGCAAATGTCGAAACGGAACGATGCCTCTGCTTGCCAAAGTAGGCCTGGACATGGTCCCCTGTGATCACCTCGCGGCCATCAACCACGTTGAGTTTTGGGGGGTCAAACATTTTGGGGGGGAATAAAACATCCAAAAATCCATCGAACGGGATCATCATTTAGCTGAAAATCGTTAAACAATGCTAAACATGCTTGGAGTTTTAATATGTTTTAATGATCATCAAAATTTTAAGATTTCTGAAAAATGGCGTTTCCAACTTCAGTTGGATCCTTCCAAAATCGGCCCAGGCTTTGAATGCTTTGAACAACACCCAGGCCTCAGCGGCTCCATAGTACAGGTGAGCATTCAACTCGACATGAACTTTGGCAAACTGCTCCTGCGACCACAAATGGAGGGTACATGGACGGGAATCGTCAGGGGTAGATTGCCTTCGTATCTATCCATTATACATTGTATATATATAATATATATATAATTACTGTATATATATAATTGTAAGGAATACACCGAAGGAGTATCTCTTGTTTGCCCACCTATCCACAACAATGCAAATAAAAACAATGTTATCTCTCTACATAAAATCACAGGCTGAAATCGGTAAGAAGCCACGTATAAACGAACTGCAAGTGCCATTATGCTATCGTCATATATGTAGTCCTAAAATGCATCCTCGAAATTGTCTGTCATTAACATTCATGAACATCATGAACATCATTTCCCGGAAAATTGTTGGCAAAATGTGTTTACTTTTCTTGTCAATGATATACCTGGCCTGAGACTGTGGTTATATGATGTTATATGGAGGTTTTCCGAAAATGGGGGTATAATACCCCTAAATCATCCATTTTAGTTACTGTAGATTGGGATTGTCCATTAAACCATCCAACTATTGGGGTAGCCCCGTGGCTATGGAATCCCTGTCCTCATCCTCAAAGAGGAACTCCGTGATGGGCCGCTCGAGGAAGGTCTCGGGTAGCCTCGTGGCAGCGAAAAATCCATCGATGACTATGTCGATGATATTCGATGATATAATATGATATAATGACATGACGGAATGCCATGGTGGTATGATGATAATTTCTGGTTGGTGGTATACCTACCCCTCTGAAACATATGAGTTCGTCAGTTGGGATGATGACATTCCCAATACATGGAAAAATAAAGTTCATGTTCCAAGCCACCAACCAGATTATACATATATATAATATTATATATATATTCTGACATAATAAAATCACAGCGCCTCTCAGCACCTTTCTTCACCATCTGCGCCAAGGGGTTGATGGATCTATACACCTCAACTCCAAAGCTGGGGATGGGGATGATGATAGCTGGATAGCCGAGATTCACACACAGGGCCTCGTGTTCACTTGTTTTATCCAAAAATTAAAAAAAATATGAAAAAATGCTGATATTCCCCATTTGGATCCATTTGGATCATTGTTTTGGGTTTGTTTATCTTTGTTTTTAATGTTTTTACATCTACAGTTGTGTGATATACCAAAGTCTCCAAAAAAAATGACTTAAAATCTGGCAATCTTGATGGCATCACGTCTCCATGTCTATGTGGCGAGTATCTTCATTTCCTCTATCAATCATCATCTGTTTGAATCTTCCTGGGAGATTTAACAGGGGGTGATTCAACATGTATGCCCTGGTTTCCCACCTTTTGTGTGCATCCTCGCCTTCTTAATCCCTTGACCTACAAATTTCTCTTTACAGTGCATAAACAGCCTCCCTTATGCTAACAGTTGGCAACAGCTCGCAAACTAGTTGCCTCTCAAGAAATTTTGTGATCAGTACTGTTTATAAATTTTGTAAACGCGTACCAGCACTTTGGGAGTAATTCAAAGATCAGGTTCTATCAGATTCAGGTGGTTTTGTAGATACTTCTCCGCGGAGTTGCACCTCTTCCCAAACCGCTTGTGGAGCTTTCTCAAAGAGTTTGTAGACATCCTGCGGATCGACCATCGGATACCACCGGTCTAGCCGGTCGACTGGCTGATCCCAGACGATTCCGGGATACTGACTCTGAGGATCTATGCTTAGCCTCCAAAGCTCAGGGGTAGCCATGGTCGAACAATAAAAAAAAAACATGGCCAATCCGAAAGCTAGATATGATTTCTGTCCACTTGCAAAAAGTGTAACATCATCATGACTCAATCATATAAATCATTAAACATCATTAAACAGTATAAAACTACACCAGTGATCAAATTAATCATTATTAGTCACGAATCACTAATCATATTACCCTCTGGTAATCTAACATATAGCTATGGAAAATGACCATGATAGATTAAAGTTCATAACTATCATACCATAGCTAAACACTATCAAAGGAAGTTTAGAAGTCAAACTTCCGACAATATGGACGGATGAAAAAGCAGAGGTGGGAAGAGCCAGAGAAGAGAAGAGAAGAAGAAAGAAGATCAGAGAAGAGAAAGAGTCAGAAGAAAGAAGATGCAGGTGGGCGAAAAGGTGGAAGAGTCGCGAATCACTGTGTTTTTTCCAATGAGTTGTCTCTGGAGGGTCGAGCAGTAGGCTCGCTACAGCGGCGGGTGCGGAGCCATCTGGCCAGATGAGAGATAAAAAATTGCACGCAGTTGTGGCGCGAAGCACATGTCGAAGTTAAAATGTACAAAACACCTCAGCTCCGGAGCACTTTTAGAAGTTGAAATGTCGAAAAAGTGCACGCCATTGTGGCGCGAAGCACATTTCGAAGTCAAAGTGCGCAATGCACCTCACGTTCGGAGCACTTTTGGAAGTTGAGATGTCCAAAAAGTGCACGCCATTGTGGCGCGAAGCACATTTCCAAGTCAAGAGCGTCCAAAAACTCATGGTCCCGGACCACTTTTGGACGTCAGATGTCGTGTCGTGTGGCAGGCGCAAGTGATTTTGCACCCTGTCAAAAGTGAGGAAAACGTGAAGGTTTTGTAGCAATTTCAAAATGTTGGCAGGCGTGGGACTTTTAAAGAGGATCTGTAAAGATGCATTTCGCGTGGCAGGTGCAGCAGAGATGCTAGGAGGTCAGGCCGCTGATTTCCTGAGAGAGGTTACCTTTTGGTGCGTCAGATGGTCAGGTTTGCTAAGATGATTTTGCGTGACAGGTGCAGCACTTCGTATGATTTGGCATCACTGGTTTGTGGCAGGCGCAATACTTTAGATAGGTGGAATGAAAAAATCGCAAAACGCATTGGTACGAGGCCGTCAGCTTTGCACTAAACTTTCCATTTTTGAAGGAAGTCTCGCAGAATTGCTTCGTTTTTGATGTTGTCAACTTCGAAAATTGAGGATGTCTCGCAGAATTGTTTCGTTTTTGATGTTGTCAACTTCGAAAATTGAGGAAGTCTCGCAGAATTGCTGCGATTTTGATGATGTCACCTTCGAACCAGGAAAATGGAAGACGCCTTGCAGAATTGCGTTGTTTCCAAGCTTGCAGGTAAACAGACAGATAGATAGACAACTACAACTACAACTACCATTACCACTACATTGCATTACTGCTACAATTACAAATGCAAGTAGACTACGCTACATTACACAACACTAATTACACTACACTACACTACACTACACTACACTGACTAATTACATCTAAGTACGCTACACTACACTACACTACACTACACTACACTAATTACATCTAAGTACACTACACTACACTACGCTACGCTACACTACACTACGTTACACAACCACAACAACAACAACGACGACGACGACGACGACAACTCCTACTCCTACTCCTACTACTCCTACTCCTACTCCTACTCCTACTACTACTACTCCTACTCCTACTCCTACTACTACTCCTACTCCTACTACTCCTACTACTCCTACTACTCCTACTCCTACTACTCCTACTACTACTACTCCTACTACTACTACTACGACGACGACGACCACCACCACCACCACCACCACCACCACAGCTACAACTACAATTACAACTACACAACATTACACTACAACTACAGCTACAACTGCACTACACCACACTACATCCAGCAGTTGTGGTAAAGGTGACAACTGCAACCATTGCAACCACTCCAAAAACACAACTCCAACCACCTTTCGGTCCATCAGTGGATTCGCTCTGCCATCCGTGAGGCACAACAACCAACCTCTCCTATGGGTTTCCTATTTTTGAAACTTCCGCCACCGCCTTGTGCGCTACCGGGTTCTTCAAAAAAAACAGCCATCCCATGAAGTACCACACCACAGAGGTCATGCCCCCCCCGTCCCCCACTTCAATGTTGCCTTCTGAATTTTGTGGTTGGTGGCCTTCAAAAAAAACAGCCATTTCTGTTGATGATGCTCGGCACTTTCGATCACAACATTGAAGTTGGGGGTTGCGGGGGTAAGCAGGGTATCTCTGTGGTTTCCTGTGGATGGCTGTTTTTTTTGAAGAACCCGGTACTACTGGTAGCTACAGTGAATTTTCATGGGTAAATCACCATGAATCAAGGATTTACCCATTCAAGATGGTGATTTTCCAAGGTGCCTTCCGACTGAGACCAAGGCGCGCATCGCAGCCCAACCTGACGCGGACGTTTTAGGGGGGTGGTCAGCCAGCCCTGAATTTTTCATGATATTTCATGATTTTTCACCCAAGAAAAAAGTTGGGATATGTGATATATATATATATATCAGGGTTCAGATAAGGGGGGAGGAGTTATGCAGATGGTTTTAGTAGATACAAAGCGGAATGCATAGGGTGCACAACTACAAAATGCAGTGCATGTTACTTTTTTTGCAGCTACAAAATGAAGAACATAACTCTTTCTGGATCGGAGAATAATTCAAAACCAGTACTACAAAATCCAATGCATCTAAAGTTAAAAAAATAGCTGAACGTCGGAATTGCTAACATGATTTTTCCCAATGACATTTTGTAGTTGGGTCTTTGCCATCCAAAGTTCCGACCAACATAAATTCGGAGAACATTTTGTAGTTGTCAATGATTGAATTTAGTTGGATCAAGTGTTGACCCCGTGCAGTGTGTTAGATGGCATTCTGTAGCTTCATGATCTGTTTGTGTCCATGTACATGTCACGCACTGTTTCCTTGTACATGTCATGCTTCAACTATTCAACTTGTACAACTACAAAATGCCAATGAGATTTAATGTTGGATGCTTCAACTAACTCAACATATACAACTACAAAATGAAAATGATGATTTGAAAGGAATCAACTACAAAATGATTCCAAATACAAAAAGGGGGGCACAACCCCTCCTGTTTGTACAAAAAAATCCTGGCTGGCCATCTGTACTGTAGCCCAAGTCCTCCCCATTTCGTAGCTGAAATTTGAAGGTGGATATATATATATATATATAATAATATACAGTGCAATTATCATCTCTAACAGATGTTTTTTTTTTCGAGTGATGTTTAAAAACTCCCAAACCTGACATTTAGTATCATTTAGTAAACCCCACTGAAGGATGTCTCAGATTCTCCAACTCCTGGCTCCGTCAATTCCCTCGGCTCCCTCGTCGCCTCTGACAGAGCGAGGCATAGGCGTCGTACTCCTCGATACGACGGCCACCGGCCTCCATCAGGCTACAGAGCTCCTGACATCGGAACAGGGGATGACCAACAGGAGTATCTTGACGCATCCTGGTAGGGGATAGATAAAGCATAGATCAATCATGATAGAAATCTATCAGTTGGAGAATCTGTGAAAACTGATATTCTATTTCTGGTTGGACAAACCCAGAATTATACGTCATACCCCTGAGAATGCCCGCTAAATATTCATCAAGGTGAATTTACCACATTTCATGATCCACATGGTATCCCATTTCATAAACTGGGATAAACTGGGATGGTATGGTGAAAGGGAGTCCCCGACTTTTCAGAAACCAACACTGACGGTGCAGACTCATCATCCGCCTAGATATGGTACGTATCGACCAGGTCTTGACCCTTCCCAGGTGTCCTCAAAGCAAAGAATCTCGTCTTTGTCCTGGACAGAGCAGCTGGTTTCAAGCCATATCTGAAGAAAAAAAGAGCTTCATGACCTCTATATGAAAGACGTGTAGAAGCTTTGGAAGATTGTAGTAATCTGTGTTTTTTTGATACAATATCATACAATATCTATGTTTTGTAAAATGTCAAACCCGGATTTGGATCAATAAACCCTGAACCCCCCAAAATACAACAATCAAGAGGGACCGTGATGCAAACCTTGGCATGTGACATCAGACATTGCTCGACTCCCCCCAAATACTTTCAGGTTTCGTTACAGTAAAGATTTGGTTTGCTGGTAAGGGCAGGAAAAAAACACATACCCAATATATACCAAGAAATGGATCTATCCTTCGTTTTTTCCACACAATTGTTGGTGCTTGAAGTTTTCTTCCTACACCCCATTGGTATAGACCCTGACATCAACAAAGAGTGAAGGCAGCATAACCCACTTCAGTTTTCATCCCGCCACAGCCGCAGCCGCGAACCCATCTCCCCAAAGAAACGTCCTTGTCGTACTTGTCAAAGATCAAATCACATCTTGCTCGGAACTCAACAGCTGGGATGCCCTGCGACTGAACATGACTGAACCATCCCATGTCTGTGGCCAGGGTAAGACCCCCAATTTCATCCAATTTCTAGGTGGTCCTAAGGAATTCCAATCGAATATCATCTGCAACTTCAACTTTCAAGTCTTTTCAAATCTTTTTGCTTCATGTTTGAGCTCATGCACCTGTAGAATATCTAAAGGCCAGGTACAAATGCCTCACCGAGCAACATGAAAAGATGAATCTTCCAACCGCGCCTTGATGGGTTTCCTTTCAGCCTGGGCCTTCACGTCTTCCTCCTGGACAAAAGAAAGGATCCGACAAACAGCAAAAAAACTGTTGGAAACTTCTTGGATCTTGCAAAATTTGTTGGGAAACTTGTCTCTCTTGTTCCCTTGTTGAACCTTGTTAAACCTTTTCGAACAGTACAAACACGTTCAAATTAGATTCGCCAGTCGACTTCCATTCTTAGACCACAGTACATATCCAACCTCTCCGCAGGTAACACCAAGTTCCACGGACCACGGAGCTGTCCTTGTCCGGAAGCTCTGTCACTGGCCTCAAGATGAATGGCCAGCTTGGGGTGGTTTCCATGTCCTGCAGAGGTTATGCTTTTCCTAGTTTGGGATGATCGCAATGGTCGTGTCCGAGGAACGTGGTGAGCATCGTTCGTTCCTTCGCGGGCAGAGGTCCCAGTTCATCAGCAGCCGCTTGGGCGGCCTGACCAGTGCTGGTTCCGGCCGCAGCAAATGGTGATCTCTGAGTGATTTTTGAATGGATAAACAAATATCAAAAGTCTTTCAAATATCACCTACCGATCATTGTTGATCCATTCAAATTATTGGTGATCTTGGAAGATCGTTGTCGATGGATCAAGAATTGGAGACATACTACGAAATATACAGAAATATATGGGAGGTATTGTCCATTACCATGCTTCGATACCAGAGGGTGTGTCTGACAAATTGGGTATGTATGGAAATTGTGCTCTACCCCAAATTGCAAAGCAATTTATTGGATCATGTGTGCAGCTATTTTCTCTACAAGCAACCATTGAAGTTGTTGTAAAGTCTCAATCAAGTATGGCGTTTCAAGAACTTACACGGCTATTTTTGTGCTGGCACGGATCCCAGTTAAATCTGTTGAAAAAAATGTTCACCCCACTAAGAATCACCCAAAGTCAGGATTCTGAAGCCGTCAAGATTTGGCTTTTTTACTGTAAGTCCATCCAGTAGACTATGGGTCCACATATATGATCTAAAACTATCGTAGTCTTAGTAGTCTCTATATAAAGAATTTGTTGTATATTGGCTTCACATGGCTTCACTCTATCATTCAGTCGGGAAAACATCATCTATTATATCTATATCATATCATCATATATTATCATATATCATCAGATATCATCTATACTTCTGGGTAAATTATAATATTTCACTAACCTGAATTAAGGCCATTTGGGGATGATTTCCCTTACTAACCATGATTCCAGTGAGGTCGCAGTGAGGTCGTTATAATTTACCCAGATACTTATACCATCCTTGGGTTGCTAAGAAGACTTTTTTCGACCACTTGGATTACCTCTTTAAATCTATCGATGCACCGTTGCCGGCTGCCGCCTCTTCCACTCGGCTCGGCGGGTTGAAGGCCTCCACCAGAGAGATGGGAAAACATGACAAATTATTCGACCAAAATATGGATTCATAATGGATCCATATATGGATCAATATATATATATATGTATATATATATATTATGTATATTAATAATCATATTAATATGGATAAATCATGGATTAATATTCATATTGATAAATGATGATAGATGTTAATATGGATAAATGATGATGATAAATGTTAAATCATTAAATCATAAAACATGTGGATTTAACAGGCCAAAATGTGGGTTTTATCGTCCCCAAAATACCCCAAATGTGTTTCTTTCGGCAGAAAATCAGCAGAACATTACAATCGTAGTTTCGGGGCGATCCTGCACATGTTGGCTTCGTTGGTGAAATGTTGAAATTCTCAAGCCTGTGATATAGTAATATATATATATATACGTATGTTTAATATAATAATATTGCTAATAGTAATATGTATTTACCACCTTATCCGGATAATTCATGATAACTAATGGTTGACAGCAGTTGGTTCTCCCATGATTTTGCGCCGCACCTCCACCAATTCACCTTCCGACACCTGAAGGGTGGGGGTTCAACGGGAAACCATTGGAAAACTCATCAAAATCTGCTTTGAATGCGATCAAGGCCATCAAATCCGGTTTCTCTTGGCCATAAATCTAAGAATAAAACCAGCAACAATCTTGAAACATGCTATTACCAATGTTTTACAAATCACCCAACGTAAAGCATACTTAATATGTAAATTTTATATATATATATTTATATATAAATATAAGATATCATCCAAAAAACTACAGTGTTGCTCAACGAAAATGGTGATGTGGGTACCAAATCTAGGATGACCCCACAAATTTTCCATGCAACAAAAAAAACAGAAAGTTCGAACCATGATACCAGCAACAAACCAATTTTATCTGAAAAACATGCTTTGATAGCTCTAGCCATCACCCAACAATTGAAACCAACTACTTGGATATTAAGGAACCAACAAAAATAGAACATATTACACATGCCATTTATCGATTCCCTGAGGAATTAGATGTTTTTTTTTGTGTATGTCCATTTGGAAAATGGAAAACTGGTTGGTGGTATACCTACCCCTCTGAAAATATAAGTTCGTCAATGGGAAGGATTATCCCATATGAAATGGAAAGTAAAAGTCCTGTTTGAAACCACCAACCAGGGATTAATAGTGGGATAATATTAGCTATGATGGATTAATATTAATTATATACACTTGTACATTCCGGGGTCCAGGTCAGTACGTTGATTTTATAGTTACAAAATGTTTTGGACCTATAAAATGCTATGTCTGGGGTAAAATAGGAGGTCTATAAAATCAATGGTAAAAAGCTCCTGATTTGCCTGATTTACCCCCATGCTATCGTAAATATACCCATGAACTGTCCACGTAGATCAACAATCAAATTCCGTACGGATCCGTACGGATCTGCACGGACCTCACATCAAATCGGCACGGAAAAATCCGTACGGAAATGTCCTGTCCGCCGACCATTCTCTATAAAAAGGACTGAGAAAAATCGACATATACATACATGTACCATCATATACCGACATGCTTTAATGATGTTTAAAGATCTTTAAAGCATGCTTAGCCCTGTTTCATAAACATTCATAAGCAGTCATAAGCTATCTAAAGAATTCTAAAGATGTCTTAAACATTCTTAAGCAATCTCAAGCATTCCTTCCTGATGGAGACTCTGGACAAGACTCTGGATCCTGTGCTGTATGCTCCTGTCCACTTCTTACGATCCCCGTGCTCCTCTATAAAATGCTGGGTTGCAGGTCATGTGTGTTTCACGTATATTCACGCTTCTTTTTTCCGCGTTGGCTTGAGTCTCATTTGGTGTGATGTTCTGGATCCTATGTCCAACCCTGCAGATTGTTTATAGGACTGGCAAATGAAATTTGTTTCAGCACAAAGTAGGCCAGAGGAAAAACTTAGAGCAGCAGGGTGCCAGCAGGGAACAACTGTAGTGGCCACAGCAGTGGCCCTGTTTTATGGTGTATCCAGGGGGTACAGGTTGGTCATTTTATAGGCTCCTCATATCTCAAGTCAAGCCTCATTAGTTTTTCCTGTGCCTTCTAATGGTTCATGTAGAGGGTGGGGCCTTCTCATTTTATAGTCCCTGGCTTTTACCAGAACAAGCATGCATTGAGGCAACACATGTGGCTTGTCTGGTTGCAGACTTCATTTGAAACCAATTGGGAATTTACATAATAGGCTCCTGCAAAAAGAAGCCAGAGACACCTCAGAAGCAAAGCAGGCCAGAGGAAAAACTTGGAGCAGCAGGGTGCCAGCAGGGAACACCTGTAGTGGCCACAGTAGTGGCCCTGTTTTATGGTGTATGCAAGGGGTCCAGCGTGATCATTTTATAGGCTCCTCATATCTCAAGTCAAGCCTTAGTCCTCCCTGTGCCTTCTTATGATTCATGTAAGGGGTGGGACCTTGTCATTTTATAGACCCTGGCTTTGGTCAGAGCAGGCATGCATTGAGGCAATCCATGTTGCTTGACTGGTTGCACACGTCATTTGAAACCAGTTCGGAACTCACGTGGGCTCATGCAAAAAGAAGCCAGAGGCACCTCAGAAGCAAAGCGGGCCAGAGGAAAAACTTGGAGCAGCAGGGTGCCAGCAGGGAACACCTGTAGTGGCCACAGTAGTGGCCCTGTTTTATGGTGTATCCAGGGGGTCCAGCTTGATCATTTTATAGACTCCTCATATCTCAAGTCAAGCCTTAGCCCTCCCTGTGCCTTCTTATGATTCATGTAGGGGGTGGGGCCTTCTCATTTTATAGTCCCTGGCTTTTGCCAGAGCAGGCATGCATTGAGGCAACCCATGTGGCTTGTCTGGTTGCAGGCTGCATTCACATAGGCTCATGCAAAAAGAAGCCAGAGGCACTTCAGAAGCAAAGCAGACCAGAGCAAAAACTTAGAGCAGCAGGATGCCAGCAGGGAACACCTGTAGTGGCATGGCAGTGGCCCTGTTTTATGGTGTATGCAGGATGTGTCAAAACATGTACGCTTACAAAGAGAACACTTAAACAAACATGATCAAACATACACATGGTTTGAAATAGATCTTACTGCAAAAACAATATGGTGTGGAAAAAACATCAACATATTTCTTCCACACACACATCTTTTCTATAAACTTTAAACTGCCAAGGCTTGACCCCCCAAAAAAGTTTGCATAAACGAAAACAAACGAATTATATACAAAATGGCAAGACTATACCCCACAAAACCATAACATAAAACGTTCTATGGAGGGGGTTGACCCCTGCCATTTTATAGAGGAAAAGTAACATCCATCTTGGAACCTTTCATTTTATAGCCATCAGGGTGCTGGCAGCTGCATGGAATATAGAATCTTGGTAAGTGGGAACTATTCATTTTATATATAATTATATTCCTCTATAAAATGCATGGTATAGCCATATGTTTTTTCTATAAAACGAATATCTTATTCACAATTGTTACAAATGGAAAACATCTATAAAATGCTGGGTTGTATGACCAAACCTCAGTATAAAGTGAAATCACTATAAAATGCTGATCTGGGAAAGTAATATTCATATATATATATTGAATGCTCTATAACAGGTACTGAGCTCAGCATTTTATAGAGGTTATGGTCAAGGGGATTTAATTATGTCCCATTTGGATCCATTTCACCAGAAATTCGATCAAGTGGTTGTTGAACATCACTAGCTTCATGGGTAAATCCTCTGTTTTTCTGGGGCATTTTTAGAATCTCCAAGGTGTTTTACCGTGTTGATCCACCAGCCACCAGGACCAACCCGAACTGGGCGCCAGGACCAAGGTGTAGCTGTCGAGTGAGGGCAGTGATGGGACACTTAAGCCTGACGCCAGCGAGAGTGGTAGTTCAACTACAAAAACTCAGTGTTTTATATAAGAACATGGTGGAAATTGCGGTTTTTCCGTTCAAAATCGTTCAAAACTGGGGATTTAACATGATTTCACCAGAAATTGGATTTGATATCATCTACAAGCTGAGTTTAAAAACAAAACAGTGGATTTCAACCACAAAACTGCCTGTTTTAACACTTCAAGTGGAGATGTCAACTGACAGAACAGAGACACGAGACTGGGATTCCGACAAATAGCGCAAATGACATGCAATTTCATGTCCATTTTTGCATTCAAATTCATCCCTCCAAAATCATAAAACCACAAAACTCCAGAGGCCAAAAAACGCAAAAACCTGTTGGGTCCTCGGACGTTCCACTCGTGCAGGGGACGCCGTGTTGCCTTCCGGGGCAATCTCGTAGAGAACGAAGTAGGCATCCTGCGAACTGCGAAGGTCAGCTGCGAAGCCTGAATCAATGGATTGGTTTAAGGGAAAATCTAGGAAACCATGGATTTTCTCATGAAATATGTGGGTTTTCCTTAAACCAATGCATTGGCTGAAGATAGAGAAAGTGGGTAAATAGATTTTGAAGCAACAAAATTTGGTTTTGAATCAACAAAAATGGCTTTGAACCCACAAAACAATGAGTTTGAACCAGCAATAGTGGCTATATGTGGGTGAACAACTAGTGAATTAGAAGATAGTACCGAGCAGAATATAGGGATGCATTGCAATAAGATATGACTGACTGAATATCACCAGCAATCAAAACGCCATGCGTGGAACATAGGTGGTAGCTGGATAGTGCACATGGATGCAAACTATCGACCAGGCAGTTGAACCAGCTGGTCATGGCGATCAGTCTTTTATAGCACCCCCCAGGAATCATGGAGAAAAGGTATAAAATCTGATTTGAAAATAGTGGTAGATGTGGTAGGTTACATTACATTTCTGATGGTTTGCATGGTGAATCTGACACTAAAGTCTACTATATACTATATAAATACATCTATAGATACTGTGAATAGTTGTAAATAAAGTTATATAAATAAATATACAAACAAGATTAATGTGAAACCTCACTAAAACCCATCCGACTGGTTACAGGGACCTACCATTCATCCATTCGACGACCTCAGGGGACCACGGGACGTTCGACACGTGAACCTCGCTGATGCGCTGGAGATCCACTGCAGGGAAAGGCCTAAAAAATCACCGGAGGAGACCGGCTGAAAAGGCGCGGCAGGGCTGTAGGTATCCATAGGTATCCACTTTTCAAAGAACAGGTGAATCAAAGGTAACTGGTGATATAAGGTAACTGGTGATACCATCACTTATTCATTTGATCAAAGTATATCAAAGTAAGTAAGCCCTCAAAATTGGGTTGGATACCTGGAAAACATGGGAGCCTAGATGTTGGCTGCCATCTATTTATTGGATGTTGGGTAAAATAGATGCCATGATGATTTGACAACATAAAAAATGGTTTGCATATGACAAATCATGTTGGTCAATTCATAAATGTTGGTTTATTGATGCCATCTATTTACAAACCATGAATTGATCAACATGATTTGACACACACAAAGGCATGATTGGGTCAAATTTACCTGCACGCATTTCCCTGGGTTCATTATGTCATTGGTATCCAAAGTTCGCGCCCTGCACCGATTTCTGCCAGGCCCTAAGAGACAGACAAGGAAAAGGGCGGCTTGTTGTAATCCTCAGCAACTGCTGAACCCAGCTGTGGCTGGTAGAAACATGATGTGTTGAAGTAGCTTGGCCAAACATACACAAGAACAAGGATTTTACAAACATTTTGCAGCTATTTTTCATGGAACAAAACTCTTTTGATCAGTTTTCAGAGCATTGTTCAGTGATTCTTTTGTAACAAACCATGTTTGTTGATTTACAGTTTATAACATTTTATAACATGTTATAACTATGTTTCGATTAAAACCAGGATTCTTCAAACTTCGAAAAAAAAAACAAATCCATCGAACCGTCGATCGGAATCCCATCCCAGGATGGCGGTGATCTTCCTATGGGGATCATTCCAAAAATGGTTGATTTTCATGGTTGATGAATGGCCAAAAATGGATCCCAACAGTAATGATGGTTGATGAATGGTTCTGAATGGTTGTTAAATGGTTGATGATCCCCAAACCCCCAAAAATTGATCCATCTGAATCATCACCAGTCCATCAGTCCGGACCCAGTCCGGACGACTGTCGACTTGTCTGAGTTCCGCGTACGTATTTGGTGTAGTGCCTCATGGGCAGTGGAACTAATTGATAGTATTGGCCATGCCATTGGGTACCCCGAAAACTCATAGGATACGGAAACAAAAACACGATTTTTATCAGACACTGGTCTGATACAAACAATGGAATGGTTAACTCATGATGTATACTCAAACTTAAAAAAGAAATAGCGGTCAGGCTGCGTGTGGGTCAAACTGTTAAACTGGTTACAGAAAACTGAACGTTGAACCATACCCATCTATGTCCAGTCTAAACGTGTTCTGTCAAAAAATCAGAGCGAAATATACCATATACCAGTGAAATCTAGGATCGATAACAACAAGTTTTGGGGCTCGAGGATGAGTTTCCTCTTGCAGATTGTGATGTTGAGCTGAAATTCACTCGGAAACACCTACAGTACAAAACTAATCTCAACCCATCTCAACCCTATAAAGATACTGTATATGACAATATATGGGGCCTGAACTGGGGATATCCCAAAATGGATGCTTTACAGTGGAAAATCCTATTCAAATGGATGACTTGGGGTACCCCCCATTTCAGGAAACCTCCACATGACAATTAATATGGATCATAATGGATCATTTTTCTGGGGAATGATGATAAACCATAGATCTTGGGTCAATAAAGGGGTAATATGCCTATGAACATCCTTGTTTCGCAGGTTCTTTGGGATCTTGTGTTACATTATATCTACAGTATATCTAATGTGGTTTCATAATCCTACCATTCAAGTGCATAATCTATGATGTATGTCATATCCTATATTTGCTTTGGCTCATTGGTGTATCCCCATGTATGGCCAAACATGAAGTATCATGAAGTATGAGGTAAACTACCCAACCAACATTTACCCATCTACATCATTCAGAGACCCCCGCTGTCTCAAAACACCGCTCCAAGTGGCAAATGTTTGTCGATGCGTTTCTCCCAGCCCGTGTTGTCTGCATCTGTGTGAACCTAGAGCGATGTGTGGTACCCGGGGCTGCTACTGGATACCTCTAAGGTAGGGAAGTTATGGACATTCTTCAAGCCCTGATGACCAAATCTCCTTCTATGTGAGACACCCCCGAAACCACATGAAGCCCGCATAACCAATAGGAAAATCACTTTCTAATACTTTCCATACATCATTTCTGGGTTTCCATGTTAGGTTAAGTTTAGGCCAAACTCAAAATGCGCCAAACAAAAAACAGATGTCTTCAATATGCATTTTTTCTTTCACGACATGGGACATTCCCAAAAGACTTTCCCAGGTTTCTATAGCTGAAAATTCATAGCTGGGGGATGCCACGGATGAGGTTGTCCCCACCACAAAACTGTCACATCCCCAAGTGCTGGCAGATATCTTGGTACATCAAAGTATATATAAAAAATGATGGAATGTTTGCTTCATATTAATAAAGTATAATGTATCAAATAACTTGCCATAAATAATTTGTCACATATTATATTACAAATATATCCCGCTGCTGAACTTTCCAGACGCATATGTTCAGCATCCATCTGGAGATTTCAACTTTTTTCACCAAGGCATCCAGTGCAGTCGTTGAAAGCAACTCGAGTAGTGACTGCCAAAGAAACACAGGGTCACCGATTCATAAGCCAAGAGCAGTAGAAACATATGTGTGGACTGTGGATGTTCCTCTAAATTGGAACACCCCACAAACCATCAAAGTGACCAATTTTGGATCATACTTTGGGGTCCCCTGTTGGCCTCCATGCTTCAACACCTAGTCGTTGCACGATATGCATCTCCCTTGGAGTAACTGGATAGCCGCGAAGGATATCAAGGTGATTGGGGAACAAGCAAAGTGGTAACTGTAGGCCAAGATTTGGTTCCCAAAAAATATTTTCGCTCATCATATATCATTATTTCGGCCGCCATTACAAACCCAATTTGGTGTCATGAACTGCTTCTCTGGCAGTGAACAGCTAACTAGGCGTCTCAAACACTCGCATCTAGAGTGTCGCAAAACGTCCCATCGCGAGCCGTTATGAATCACAGTAATAAGTAATAAGCCACTTGCTCTGCATCCAGTGGGAGTTCTACACCACCAGCTACTGACAACGTGTTCAGTTTAAGAAGAATCCAAAATAAAGCTTAGGCCTATGCAAAAGCTATGTCCCTGCCAAAAGGGCCCACCGAAATGACACTAGTTTCCCAAAATAGCAGTACCAATATAAAAGCACTCATGTTTACAGTAGCGGAACTATTATATATATATATATTCCCATCATGAATTTGTTGTGTATTTTTTTCTATATGTGTTCAATCAAAACTGAACAAACCTCCCTCTCTAAAACCTTGATACTTCGCTTTTTTTTTGTTTCCACAACACACCAAGCTCACACCGCCAGCTGGGCGTGTGAGTCCCCGCCATGGGAAGCCCATGGAGACTGCGCCGCGACAAATCACTTCGGATCTGCCCCGGTGAACGATGAATTCCGCCGGCGTCGAAAGGAACTCAGAACAAGTTCCTTAAGCGGACACAACTTGGATCCATTGGATGCTGGGGCCAACTTTTTTTGGATTTCAGGGATACAGAAAACACGCAAAAGTTAAAAGGAGATCAACTGAGATTCACGTAGTCGCAAAAAAAAACATCCACGTTCATTTGTTGTATACCTCGTCCAAGTCTGGGGATCAACCAGCTTGAGCGAAAATCCAACCTGAGTCGTTTGGTATGGGCAAGGCTGTCCTGAAACTGCCATTAGTTGCGGTCTCAAGTCCCAGGATGAAGGGAAATGCATGAAAACCCTATACACAAATCTATGATTACTGTAGAAGAACATGTTACTACATTGTAACAAACATACTGTAACTATTTACATATGTTCACATATATATATATATATATAATCATATATATATATATGAATATCTGTTCGCTCTAATGGCAAAAACATTGCTGGAAACAAAAAAACAACAACCCATCGCCAAAGGTATTCACCTCAAGCAAAAAATCTAGAGTGATGGATAAATCATACCAACTCACCCGCGTGAAAAAAAAACTTTGGGATTATTCCCCCAATCCTACCCGTCATCCATGGGATTTACTCGCCGATTCTGTTAGCCGAATCCTCGCTTTTCACAATGTTCTTTTTCCTAGGCTAATAAAACCTCAGTTGGTGTTGGTTTAACCACCGTTTAAACCAACAGTTTGTTGCTCCCAAGCTAACCTCTGTCTTCCCCAAAATTAGCCATTGTCGTCTCAGCTGCGTCTTCTTCATAATGCGCAGGAATTCTTCCTGCACCGTAGGGTTTCAATTTTTGACTCTCATGATGTTTTCTTGAGTAAATCCATAGGTTTGATTAATAATATGATTTTACCAATCCCTGTGAATTTTCAGATTCAATCACTTCAATCTCCATATTTGCTAGATAAATATTGATAGATCCTGATTTTTCTACTTAGGCCAAGGTGGAGTTAGTCCGACAACATAAGAGGGTATATTCAATTATATAACATATATGTCATGGTTTATTCATCATTTATCCTCCTGAAACTTAACATAGATATGGAAAACCTATGAATGTAGGATATGTTTCTAGGAAAACCCATGGGTTTTCTACACTTTCAAGGTGCTTCTCCATGGTTTCTTGGATTGGATCGTGAATTTTCTACTTAGATCACCATAGGTCCCCATCAAAATCCCATTGAAGCCCCAAACGAAATCCCATGAAATCCATTGAAATCCAAACAATATCCCTATGAAATGTCAAAATACCATAGAAATTCCCATGGTTTCCCACTTTCACTACCTCTTTCCATGGCCGATTTCAGGGGCCGACAGACCCGGTGACATCCCGAAAAAGGCTCCGACAGATGGCCTCGTTCACCTCGCCGTCGCCGTCGCGGTCGGCTTCATCGATCATCTCTTGCAGCTCCTGGGTGGTTGGAATGGAAATGTCGTGGGAAGTCCAACCTGGTTAGTGGTTGACCAGTTGACCCCTCTGAAAAATGATGGAGTGAAAGTCAGTTGGGATGATGACATTCCCAACTGAATGGAAAAATATAAAATGTTCCAAACCACCAACCAGCAACCATATGGGGATTGTTCAAAGTTAATGAGTGCATTAAGCCTGAAAAATGCTGGTTTCATATGGTATCCAGACATCAATACCAGCAATCATGTTGTTGACAATCCAACAATAATGTTGTTGACAATCCAGCAATCCACCGTATAGAATGATAGTGTTGTGTTATACCAACAACAATGTTATGTTGAAATGTAATGGGAATACAAAGCATTTGGGGATTGTATGATGAATATTGATGGGTATATTTAAGCATCAAACATGGTGGTTTGAAGGGGATTTGAAGGGGATTAGAAATCAACTAGAACCTAGTATTAGTATTGAATGGGGATTTATAGTGGATGACTAAATGGTTAATGTACCTTCTTGTGTATATACCCATCTTTTGAGATAGCTGCTGGGAATGGTTGTTGGAATGTTATGGGAAGGTAAGGGAATAGAATGGAAATGTAATGGGAATACCAACCATATTGGGATTTTCAAGTTGACGAATGAGATCGAATGAGTACATTAACTGTGAGTAGTGGTGGTTTCATATATATGGTATCCAGAAATCAACACCAGGAAGAGATGCAGATATGAACCCAAAACAAGAGGTTTCCATTGCTGGCCTCAAACCATTGGTTTTCCAATGGTTTTCCTATTCAACATGGCATTTGTTGCGACTATTTTGGGGTCAAGAAATCACCATTCTGACTGCCCGACCTCATCCGTCATCCTCTCTCCCAACTCCTGGCCCGACAGGCAGGCAGGGATGGATGTGTTGCCTAACGGGGTTGCAAAAAAGAACGTAGTAAAATTCCCCACGCAAAACAACATGTCTTAATAGAGATATGTCTTTTCCGGTACAAAATGTGTTTTTTCACCTAGCCGTGTTTTGAAACATTACGACATAAAGTTCATGCCGTAAGGTCCCAGGGTGATGCTGTCGTCAGCTGTCATGTGCCCTTGGCATGTCCTTGGCGACACGCTTCAGGTTCTTGAAGGAAATCTTCCCAGTCTCATCATCATCAAAGAGGCGGAAAGCCTGGTTTTTTTCAGCTGGGATGTCACTGATGTTTCTACTGTTCGAAGATGTTTAAATAGATTGGTTTTATAAGCGATTTTGTTGGAATATGTTTAACTTGTCAAAGACTGTCCAAAGCATTTTATATTTTTTTGAGCCATGTCTGCTGTTCGATTTAAGCCATGTTGGTGGTGTTATAGCTTTTGTTCGGGATGTAATAGATGGATAAAGAATGTTCAGCTGGTCAATTTAAGGCAATTTTGAGTTTGTTTTTTAATTCAATATAGCGAAAGGATGGAGATAAGTAATTTACCTGTTGCAATCTTTTGGCATTAAAACTTGAAACAGACTCAAAATAGATCGTATAGGCAGAAAATCAGCTACAAACATCAGCGAAATTTAGATCACCCATCATTTGGCTAGTTTTGCCAGTAGATGCCCAAAAAACCATGGATTTTCCCTTGTCATACCCACATTATATTGTCATCGTTTGGGTACGGGATGTTAGGCGCCCCGCCACGCAGCAGAACGCTATGCATGTAGGGGAAACAATATGCACAGAAGATGTGGTTACAACCGGAAAACTACCAGGTTTTGTTTATTGTCTTTTTGGTTGGTTTAATAAAGGCAAATATGTTCAAATAAATAGGTCCGCCCCTACTACCTATTGCCGTTTCTGTCGGGCAAACAACATATTCGGGATATCATACTTGTACTAATTACGTGTCTTTGTAACGCAACCGAACGCCAATCAGAATCCCTGATGCTTTTTTGGGGTGGTTTTAAAGGCATGTGGCCCGTCCCTGCTACCTAATTGGGATGCGACACATAGCTTTAACACACTTCAGCTTTTCCGTTTGATTTTTTCAATCAGTTTTCAACGTCTGACGTTACGAGGACGGTGAAAGATGCGATTTGCCAGCCCCAAAAAATGCATTTATAGGGTGGTTCCGGGTGTAATTTGACGTAATTGATCCTCATGCTGCTGATTTGTTCTAAATGCATCTAGACCTGTGCATCGGCACAGTTCACCCCGGGTACCCTTCTGTCCTCCCTCAAAGATGGGTTTGTCTTCATAAAACACCAGGCGAAAAGCCTGGTTTCCAACCACATTTGTCCTATAAATGTGGATTTTTTGTGGCCATATCTTGGGGCTATCCCCTATCTTCATCAAAAAATGCTATTTCAACATCCACCTTTCAGGATCTGCGTGCCTTAAGGATCTCATCCTTAGGATCGCGGTTCAAGATCTTATGGGTCATCATCTTCAAGAACTCCTGGATGGCTGTGATCATATGGCAATGGCAATGGATAAATCCACCTTTCAGATTTTCCCATGAAATCATCAGTGGCATATTATAACAGCGATATTTACAGGGGGAATTTTCCATTTACAGTGATGATTTTCCATATGATTTTCCCATTAAAACCAGCACATTAAAACTATGTACAGTGCATATTTTCCAGCCATTTTTGATGACACCAAAGGGTAGATCATCATTTGAATCCATTTGACACCGCCGCGTTGGATTCCAATTGCCATGTTTGATTTTCATATATGAAATAGACTGTCTAGCTGCTAGAAAGACTAAAAACTTGAGGATCGAAAATGGAACACAGATTCGATGTTCGAATTTCCAAAGATTTCCTGATTTTCCCCATTGAAATGCTGAGACATCCATTGATCTTTCCAGGCTTCCAGGTCAAATTACCAAATCTCCATGCTCCTTGAGTCCTCACCAAAATCCAAGGCTACTAGCCCTCAACAATGGAAGCCTAGTAAGCCCAAAACTGTTGGCTGAATAAAAAATCAATGCACCGAAAATACCCTCTGGTTATGACTAACATAGCCATGGTATAGATGGCCCATAGAAATAGATGGTTTACCTAGCTATAAAATGGTGGATCTTTTCCATGGCTATGTCAGCCATAACCAGATGGTAATTCGAATCATTCCAGTGACGTCGCAATGAGGTCGTTGGAATTCACCCGTTTTTTTTCAGGTTGATGGGGTTTACCCTACCCATCCCTACCCAAATCAATGATAATCAATGTATACCCTGAAAATAGCCAATTCTTGGACTTCTAATCTTTCGACCCACTGTCGATGTTCGAACATTTTGGAGGGTTAAAATCGTTTTCTATGCCTTCAACTCAGAGCGATCACGGCTCCTCATAACCAATGGTTCCAGATCCATCATCCTCAGTGTCTTTGACAACGCCTGTTGGTGACAGTAACTTCGCTGTTGGTTAAGCCCTGCCCAAAACACACCTGGGGTGATGTTTTCCGTGTAAATGTTGCAAACTATTCGAAACATGAACAAGATTCGCATCCTGAAAAAATCCGGCAGATATGATTGTGATTGGCCTCTGGCACTCAAACATTGAGATGGTTGGCTGACCCCGAGTTCATCCTCTAACAGAGTCGGGATTGATGAATGCAGTACGTTGAAACAAGCAACCGGATATGTAATCAGTTTTGTTTTTAATGGTGAAAACAGGTTTGGTTGTTGTTTCTGTTGAAAAAAGTAAACCAACCAAATATGTTCATCGCTATGGTGAATTGGTTCTGACATGTTCTGATGATTTGGGGTTCCGAATCCTAGCCATGATTCATGGCTTAACACCGCCATGGGAGGTTCAAGAATTCACCCATAAAAATTTAGGAAAAAAACCGAATTCGATCAACCCATTTCCGGACTGTCCATCCAGATATTAGATGATATTTGCACCCTTCAACTCGGAGTGTTTGTTTCAACCCCCATTCACACCCATCGTCATTTATCAATTGTATCACCATATCTTTGATGCTTAAATCAATAAACCATCATTCAAGATTTGTATCATATCATATCATATCATGTTACCCATTTCTTACGGATGGTTTAATCCTCAAAAACGACCCATGTTTTATTCAATTTACTAACCCAGACCCATCGTTTTTTTCATCGTTCAAGTCGCATCCACGTCGGAGATCATCTTCTGGATTTCCTCCTTCTTCGGTTCGAAGCCCAAGGCTCGCATGGCCACCTCGGAGTTGTCGAAAGGGATGAAAAATCCCTGGGGGTTGGTTTGAACCAACCCCCAAAGCTAGGACTTGAAAAATAGCATTTTATAATATGTTATAGCTGTTTTTCCATGTTTAGGCTGTTGCGAAAAAGATACCCTCTGGCAATTTGTTACCTAGCTCATCACCCTGTTTTATAGGTATTCCCAGAGTGTATCCCAATCTAAATGGTTGGTTTCCCACCATATGTCTATTAGAGTGATTGAGATTCCCCAAAATTATCAAAATAATTCTTGATGAAAATCCCGCTAAATGATCTTTTTATTTTTTATATACACCAAAAATAATGATTATTATCAACACAATGTAGATATCCTATTGCTAATGTAATGCTTATCAACTATTGGTCATTGTTATTCCCAATATTGTAGTGGTTTGAAATAAATTGCCACTATTACTAAGAAGATAATTATTTTTGGATATTATCTCAACTATTAATATATAGCTAATAAACAATTGTCCTCATTGGTGGTTAGTGTTATCTCATATTATCTCCGTATTTTCAGAACATTAACCACCAATAATAAGGATAACACAAGTTTGCAACTATCTCATATTTTCATAACACTAACCACCAATAATAAGGATAAGACAAGTTTGCAACTATCTCAGCTATTGGCCATGATTATCTGGTTGGTGGTATACCTAGCCCTCTGAAAAATATTAGTCAGTTGGGATGATGACATTCCCAATATATGGAAAGTCATAATCCAGTCATGTTCCAAACCACCAACCAGTCATAGACGTTCGACCTTAGATCTCCCGAGTTTCCTGAAATCCCCGTGGATTTCTCCATTTTTCCAGCGGCCTTCAACTCCTTCGAATCGATCTCACCACTGCCGTCGGTGTCGAAGAGGTCGAAGGCCTGGCCCGTGTGCTACAAATCCGAATATGTTAATAGGTGATATATAGGGAACAAATAATTTATGAAATCATGGTCGAATCATATGTATGAATAATGGATTTCAATCAACATACATATACAGACATAAAGTCAATTTAATGAGGTGATAAAGAGGTGAGATGAGATTTGGAACATGATTAAAGCATCTCAATGGGGATTTCTACAAGCCAAGTGACCATTTTAACCGCAATTGATGTGTAAATATGTGTTTAACATTATATAACTATTGAATCATGGATCTTCTTTTGTCTAAGGGAGTCACCCCCGACATTCGCCATGGAATTTGACGCCAAAGCGTGGTGATCAGATGGATGTTCAAGTGCTGTCATACCTGGTCTTTTTGACTTGGCAAATGCTAAAGGTGCATTAATATGCACTATATACTATACATAAATATATAATTATATGTATATATATATACATATGTATATATATGCACTATAGGAATGTACCTAGAAGGAAAATGTATGCTATAGTGCTGCTATGCATTGCATGAGTACTGTATCGCCTCAATCTGTAAAACTTGGATCCAGCCGGAACAGCGTCTCTTCATCTTCAATCTTAGCCTAGTGGGTGGGGTCATCCCATTTTTAGAGGGATGGAAATAGAAGATATACATATACATATCATTACCATTTATTACCATCATTATAATTTTATTTCCATCATTATTATAATTATTAGTAGTATTATCATATTATACATATTGTATACATACATATATATATATAATATATAATATATATAGACATAATATCACATGATTATGCATATACCATGATATACTTTTATATGTAATGATATACACGTATACATGTATATTATTGTTGTTTACAACCACCAATTTGATTGGCCAATGTCCACTTATATGTTGTCGATTCCTCATGGTAAAGCAGGCCTCTTTGATCTCCTGCTTTTGCTCATCCGTGAGCTCCTTCTGCTTCTTTCCACCTCTGCCGAGCTGGCAACGGCCTTCCTAGAGCTTTCCAAAGAACATGTTGTTTGTTCCTGTTTCTTTGCCTTTTGTTGGCTTCCTGCAGGTAGGGTCTAAATATATATATATATAAATAATAATAATTTAATATATATATATATAATATTAATATTACATATTAATATATATATATAATGTATATAGAGTGATGAGCTTTTTTCAGATTCTAAAGGACTTTCGCAGCACGTCGCCGGCACGGAATCGCATCGCCTGCGTTGAATCGGCGCAGTGCCATGGCGTTGAATCGGATGGTCGAGCGGCTGGGAACCCGAGATCTCGAGTCGCGGCTGCAGAGTCTATGGATGGTCTATGGATGTCTATGGATGTCTATGGCAGTTCTGGCATTGGGCCGGTTTACCACTGGTTTACCTGGTTTATCACACCAAAATTCATGAACTAGACGCTGCAATTCACAACTTTTATAGCACTAAAACGTACTGATTCTGCACAGATTTTGCAGTTTAGACCTACATCGCACCACTTTACATCAGCCGCGCCCGTTGTATTGTCTTTTCGCGCTACGTCTGTTCGCGCAGAAACGTGACATTTGCGAAAAGCAGATGGACCAAGCCCAGTTCCCACCGTGAACCCCAAAGGACTCACGGAGAAACTGACAGACAGTTGCCACAACAAAGCCACCAACAAAGCCACCCGTTTTCAAAACATCTTGCGAAAGACACACGAATTATATATATATAATATAATAACATGATTATCATGATAGTAATAATAGTTATAATTGTAGTAATGTACTACGTACCCTGTTGTTATGTCTTTTTGCTTCTATTTTGCGTTTTTTTGGGTACCGACTGAGGTTTTTCAGGTGGTTTCGTTCCAGTGAAAGCTTAGCTCGGTTGCAAGTCATTCCAGGGCGCGTGAAAAGATCACGCGCAGTGACAGAGCTGGATCTTGGATGGGACCAGGGAAGTTTTGATGGTGTTTTGACCATGGATTGATGGACTGGTGGAGAAAAAAACCATGTCTTTATGTCTTTCTTACCATCAAATATATGAAATTTATCTATAAACATCTATAAACATTGGAACTACATTACGTTATCTATAAACATATACAAACATGGGATAATCTGTGTTGCTTTTATCATAGGTGAATAGTTGTTATAGGGTTATACATAATATATATATATATACTATGCTATCGGGCCACCCCCACATATTTATATTTATGTAATTATAGTATATATAATATGTTATCCGGGTCACCCCCATATGTTTACATATGTATATATATATATACTATCTTATCGGGTCACCCACACATACACACACATATACATATATATACTTTAAACCCCACAACGCTTCCACTCAGCCATCAGAGCAGCAACAGCCGGCTGCTGCTGCTGCTGCTGGCTGCTGCTACACCTTTGAAGAGATGGAGGAGATGCAGGCCTCAGCAAACGTTCCAATTCGTGATATATATATATAAATATATATATATATATATCAGGTTTATCATTTAAATGGGATATACAAGATTGGTGGGAAATATAGTCATAATATATTTGAGATGTATATACCCGATTTATCATATTTAGATTGGTGGTAAAATATACATCATATATTTGAGATATATACCAGATCTATCATATTCAGATTGGTGGTAAAATATATTCATTCATATATTTGAGATATATACCAGATTTATCATATGTTCGATATATATGTGTAACCGAAATTGGTGGTAAAATATATTCATCATATACTTGAGATATAAACTAGATTTACTATATTTTTGGGATATATACCAGATTGGTGGTAAAATATATTAATCATATATTTGATATATAAACTAGATTTATCATATGTTTAAGATATACCGAATATTGTTTGTATCCCTGATTGGTGGTTTGTATCCCTGATATCATGTTAAAGGGATGATCAAGGGCCCTTAGATTGATCACTACTGGCAGTAAATTGGAATTTCAATGGATTTCCTTCAAACATGAAGATAATCATGGTTCCTTTGAGCGCTCACTACCGGTAGTGAATTGGGATGTTCTTCAAGAATTGGGATGATCGGGGTTCCTTACAACATTCACTACCAATAGTGAATGGGGAATTCTTTCAAACATTGGGATGATCGGTGTTCCTTAGAACGCTCGCTACCGGTAGTGAATGGGGAATTCTTTCAAAAATTGGGACGATTGGGGTTCCTTAGAACGCTCGCTACCGGTAGTGAATGGGGAATTCTTTCAAAAATTGGGACGATTGGGGTTCCTTAGAACGCTCGCTACCGGTAGTGAATGGGGAATTCTTTCAAAAATTGGGACGATTGGGGTTCCTTAGAACGCTCGCTACCGGTAGTGAATGGGGAATTCTTTCAAAAATTGGGATGATTGGGGCCCTTAGAACGCTCGCTACCGGTAGTGAATTGGGATTTCAATGGGTTTCTTCAAAAATTGGGATGGTCGGGGTTCCTTAGAACGCTCGCTACCGGTAGTGAATTGGGATTTGAGTGGATTTTTTCAAAAATTGGGATGATCGGGGTTCCTTAGAACGCTCGCTACCGGTAGTGAATTGGGGTTTGAATTGATTTTTTCTAAAATTGGGATGATCGGGGGCCCTTAGAACGCTCGCTACCGGTAGTGAGTGTTCTAAGAGGGAGCGACGGTCGCTCCCTGTTAGAACGCTCCCTAAGATAGATAGTGTTCTAACAGGGTGCGACGGTCGCTCCCTGTTAGAACGCTCGCTACCGGTAGTGAGTGTTCTAAGGGGGGGTTGGCAAACATCGGACCAGGGATGATCTTGTGTTTTCGCTGGGGTCTTAGTGAGAAGAACGCAAGATTGAGGGTGCTCCAGCGACAGGAAACCTCCCTTAGAACGCTCGCTACCGGTAGTGAGTGTTCTAAGAGGGAGCGACGGTCGCTCCCTGTTAGAACGCTATCTATCTTAAAAGCAGCAATTATACATATGGATGATTGGGGGGCCCTTAGAACGCTCGCTACCGGTAGTGAATGGGGAATTCCTTCAGAAATTGGGACGATTGGGGTTCCTTAGAACGCTCGCTACCGGTAGTGAATGGGGAATTCTTTCAAAAATTGGGACGATTGGGGTTCCTTAGAACGCTCGATACCGGTAGTGACTTGGGATTTCAATGGGTTTCTTCAAAAATTCGGACGATTGGGGTTCCTTAGAACGCTCGCTACCGGTAGTGAATGGGTAATTCTGTCAAAAATTGGGATGATTGGGGGGCCCTTATAGAACGCTCGCTACCGGTAGTGACTTGGGATTTCAATGGGTTTCTTAAAAAATTGGGACGATTGGGGTTCCTTAGAACGCTCGCTACCGGTAGTGAATTGGGATTCGAATGGATTTTTCAAAAATAGGGATGATGGAGAGCCCTTAGAACGCCCGCTAGTGAATTGGGATTTGAATTGATTTTTCCTACAATTGGGATGATCGGGGGCCCTTAGAACGCTCGCTACCGCTATAGTGAGTGTTCTAAGAGGTTGCGACGGTCGCTCCCTGTTAGAAAGCTCCCTATATCAGGTAGCGAGCGTTCTAAGGAACACCGATCATCCCAATGTTTGAAAGAATTCCCCATTCACTATTGGTAGTGAATGTTGTAAGGAACCCCGATCATCCCAATTCTTGAAGAACATCCCAATTCACTACCGGTAGTGAGCGCTCAAAGGAACCATGATTATCTTCATGTTTGAAGAAAATCCATTGAAATTCCAATTTACTGCCAGTAGTGATCAATCTAAGGGCCCTTGATCATCCCTTTAACATGGTATCAGGGATACAAACCACCAATCAGGGATACAAACAATATTCGGTATATCTTGAACATATGATAAATCTAGTTTATATATCAAATATATGATTAATATATTTTACCACCAATCTGGTATATATCCCAAAAATATAGTAAATCTAGTTTATATCTCAAGTATATGATGAATATATTTTACCACCAATTTCGGTTACACATATATATATATCGAACATATGATAAATCTGGTATATATCTCAAATATATGAATGAATATATTTTACCACCAATCTAAATATGATAGATCTGGTATATATCTCAAATATATGATGTATATGTTACCACCAATCTAAATATGATAAATCTGGTATATATATCTCAAATATATTATGACTATATTTCCCACCAATCTTGTATATCCCATTTAAATGATAAACCTGATATATATATATATATCACGAATTGGAACGTTTGCTGAGGCCTGCATCTCCTCCATCTCTTCAAAGGTGTAGCAGCAGCCAGCAGCAGCAGCAGCAGCCGGCTGTTGCTGCTCTGATGGCTGAGTGGAAGCGTTGTGGGGTTTAAAGTATATATATATATGTGTGTGTATGTGTGGGTGACCCGATAAGATAATATATATATATATATACATATGTAAACATATGGGGGTGACCCGGATAACATATTATATATACTATAATTACATAAAATATAAATATGTGGGGGTGGCCCGATAGCATAGTATATATATATATATTATGTATAACCCTATAACAACTATTCACCTATGATAAAAGCAACACAGTAATTATCTATAAAATATACGTACTTTACTACAGTCGAATTCTTGGAACAAAAATGGCAATTTTAAGGAACATCCCAGGGAAAGTGAAGAATCCGAGGTGGAAACTGCTCGAAAAATGATGTTTCCATCATTGGAAAAAAGAAAAACGAGGTAGATAATGGAACATATCAGCAACCGGAAATATGGATATATATATATATAGCTATATATATAGTTGGCGCTTTCAGCCTATCCGAAGAATATCAGGCCATCATAGGCCATCCATATCGCATTGTGAAGCTAACATGATGGACTCCATGGTCCATAGCTAAAGCACCCAAGATTCGCTGGTGAATTTACAGCAGGCACCGGCCTCAGAAGAGATTCCTGGCGCGCGCTGGCGAAGTGCACCCAACTATCCACCAATCGGATTGTTGTGATCTTCCAGATGATGAGAGATGATGTGTTGTGATGTGTATGTGTATTATGTGTATGAAGATGTTTAACATAGATGATATTACACAATATTTAGTGATCTTCAAATATTAGATCTGATGTTTTTCTTAATCTGCGTTTGAAGGTGTTGAACATCTATTTGTGTAACATGGGACGCCCACAAAAAAAAAGCGCAACCGGTGGCGCAACCGAAATCCGTCCGGTGGGCCCTTAACGTCAAAACAATAATATTGGAATATACTATGTAAATATAAATGTATATGTAAAGATTATAAATATTATAGATATATATTTAGATGTAATATAGATGGAATATACTGAGAAACAATGTAAACAGCCGCAGCAAAATAAAGGATAAAAAAATATGAAGGGCAGAAAAGCTTTGTCGTTGAGCTTTCAATCGAGCAGTTTCAACATCTATATACTTATTGTGGATTCGTTTTGCCCATGGGTGGTTAGGGGATTCCACAAGTGATGGTTTGAAACATTACCCATTAAGAAGAACACCCATCCACACACTAAAATCAGCAGCCATAAGGGATTTTGGCCGCGGGCTCCGGCCCACTTTGGTTTATGCCTATTTGGGGCGCTTGCACGGTTTGCCCAAATACAGTACCATGCAGGCGGACCTGGTGGTTAGGTAGATCCTCTACCAAGCTTTGGACAAGATGCTGACGATTAGTTGGATATAATCGTCATTTTGGATACGGTTAGTGGTTCCCCCCTGCCAAAGAAATAACAATGTAAGCCATGGCGGATCCTCCCAAATAGGGCATCAAAAAACCCCTTGCCCGGGTATTGTTCGGACCCTCTTCTGACCTTCTGGCAATCCAAGCTCGCAACATAAAACCCGCATTGGTTGAAAATTAGTTGATGTACCCTCTGATTCATAATGCTTAATCATAATGCTTAATTATAGAAAATCATGATGAATAGTGGTGATTAGTGGTTTTTTTCGTGGTGATTATGGGATTCCCCTCTGGTAATCAAACTTGGCTGGCTGGAAAATCACCCAATAAAGAAGGTTCCAGCTAGCCATGTTGGATTACCAAACGACCAAAGGTTCAGTGGCCTCCTGTGAAGCGGCATAGATATGAAAAAAAACATGGTTTCCCTAGAAAGACAATCTACAACTGGTAATATTAATATATGTTAATATGATTCAGTGTAACCGGCACCATTTCACCCCACAAATCGCGTATTGAATCAGGTGGCGTCTTCTTCATGATGCGCAGGAATTCTTCCTGGATTTCGCAGGATCGGACCGATGACAGACAGAGTCTTCTCGCCCCAGCCCGGCTTCTCGGCAATGTGAACCCCCAACTTCCATCAAGCTACCTAGTAAATGTCCATTAAATGTCCCAATCGACATTCCACATTCACTTCTGAATTCAAGAAAAACCTTCAAGAATTCAAGAATTAAGAATCATCAAGATCATGCCTCTCTAAATCTTCCAAACATCAGTTATTGTGGTAAATTGTAATCATTCACAAATCTGAAACCTTCGACCGCGCATCTGAATTGTTCGACCGCGTCCCATCCCCATGAAAACTTCAGTCGTTTGAATGACAATAACTATACTGTAGTAATTATGGATATATTATACAATGCAATGATATATTCAGATGATAATATAATCATAGTATATAAAAGTAATAATAATAACAAGTAAAATCATACTGCAGTATATCGTATAAGTATACGTATGTTATATGTTATTACTATATGCTGGTTTCTCCAGTTCAATTATTTATAGTTTTGCCAATGGTATAATCCGATTATAGTATTTCCAATGGCAATACAATATATATTCCAACAAACAATTAACCAAAAGTTCTCATACCATAATCATACTATAAATTAAAGGAATACGTGAATACCTTTTAAAAGAATACCAGGATGAACAATAATCATTATAATAGTTATATATTATATATACTATAGTTCTGATAATGTCTTGTAATGATGATTCGGACAATACTATAATCAAATAATTGGTGGAAACTACGTATTACCATTATAAATTTATAAACTATATTATATATAATGTAGTTGGTAATGATAATTGGATGATTATAGTATTACTCACCAATAATAATAGATAATTGGATATGTTTATTACCTATAATCATGTATATATAATGATAATATATAATCATATATAATATATGATAATTTATACTATTACTGTCATTTATATCATTTATATAATTATGTAATGAGTATAGTTTCCCCAATAATCCAATTCCCATCCATCATCCCGTGGATTTTTGCCTCATTCACCTCACCGTCGCCGTCCCGGTCGGCTTCATCGATCATCTCTTGCAGCTCCTGGGACGGAAAAAGATGGCAGATTTCATGGTAAGATTTAGTGGTGTTTAATGGTGATTTAATGGTGATTTAGTGGTGTTTAATGGTGATTTAATGGTGATTTAGTGGTAATGGTGATTTAATAGTGATTTAATAGTGTTTATTTAAGCTGATGTAATGGTGATCTAATGGTGATGAAATGGGGCTTCATGGTGATCTAATGATGATTTAACCATTGATTTCTGGGGATTTTATGGGATATCAATGGGAATATCGTGGGGATATAACGGATACTCCACCCAGAATATGGGACCCACCAAATGTCATCAACCTCCAAGTTGGGAGGGTTGAATTTCCCCCAATTATTTTTTCTACCACATCAATATTCTCTGGTTGGTGGTTTCAACCCCTCTGAAAAATATAAAAGTCAGTTGGGATTATTATTCCCAATATATGGAAAAATAAAACATGTTCCAAACCACCAACCAGTTCTTATTTGTCTTAAACAATGGGGATGGAACAAGAAAACCTGCAGTGAAACCTTTGAGAGTCTTGTGATCTTGTCAATGTTTATGTAAACCATCCAGGAAACAGCGAAAAATCAATCTGATATAAGAAGTCAAATGATGAACATTATCACACGCAAACCAAGAAATGGAATGAATTACTCTCAAAAACATGGACCCAAAGGTGCAAGTTTAGGTTGAGAATGATCCAAAAAACACATTTAAAAAACATGGAAAGTCTTCACCAGAGATGGCTATCTTGAAAGCCACCTCTTTCAGCTGCAGAGACCTCTGTGTTTCTGGGGGGGACGTTACGGGACCGGGTACCTGGTGGTGCCCCTGTTATATGTGCTTTCATGTCCTTTGTAACATGTTATACCATGTTATAATATGTAAACATCCAGATCAAAATCCTTGAATTATAGAATATTAACTACCACATGAACATCCAAAAAAACAACAACAACAATTGTACATTATGTACATATATCATATATTATATATTCATTTACAAAGCCCGGTGAACATTCATGATCATTAAGTATGGATCTACCATAAACAAAGGAGGGAGACTGTTCGTCGGGTTTTGGTCAAACTATTAACTAGTTGACTACCTCTATTGAGCATATTTGTGGATCATTAACATATGGAGATCACATCCATTATCATTAACTGATTATATAGTTAATGGCTATGACTAAGTTATATGACATCCATTATCATTAACATCTATTATCATTATCATTATTATAATACATATTATAACTAGTTGACTCATTCAGAATGGGACGGGACCGTGGTCAACTTCGCCACTCCGGCCTCATCGGTCATACGCTCGCCCAATTCCTGGGAGTTCTTGGGCTGGCAAGGGGGCCGTCGTGGATCCGCTGCATCTCATTGGTTGATGTTCGAAAAAAAAAAAACATGTGGTTTATCATGTTTATCTACCCTCTGGTTATGACTAACATAGCCATGGAAGAGATGGCCCATAGAAATACATGGTTTACCTAGCTATAAAATGGATTAAAATGGTGGATCTTTCCATGGCTATATTAAATAACCAGATGGTATGTTTATCTTGCAAAGATTTGCAAAGATCGAACTATTGGGATAGAATTCTCCAGTGGAAATGTGAGAAAAATGGGACATGAAAACAGCAAGCTAGTTGGATATATGAGTTATCTGAAAATGTAGGTGTACCTCCAATTACCAATGGATTCTAATTGTCCCCATTTGAAAGGCTATTATTTCATTCACCCGGGCCATGTGGAGAGTCGACTCCCTACATCCCTATTGTTCATACTAAAACCCCATTGTGGATGGCACGACCACAATTTTTTGGCAGTTGAAATCATGCTTGAGAATTCAATCCTGCTAAACAATCCAGTTCTTCCTCATTTCCAGATGTTGACCAACCTCCCAGTGCAGCGAACATCACCATCTCCCCATGTTGAACTGGACACCCGGCCCGGAACGGCCGGCCGCGCTCCTTCGCGACTCGCTTCAGGTTTTTGAAGGAAATCTTCCCGGTCTCGTCATCATCAAAGAGGCGAAAGGCCTGGTAGCTGCGATCCGATCCCACCAAAAAAGATAGAAAACATGGGATTTTCCATTTTTTTACATAATGGGAGTGAATTACTATATTTTTATAATGGGGATTTTACATCATTTTATACTTTTCTATCTTTTTGGGGGTGACTTACTATGATGATGATAACATGGTTCCATCAAAACAAAAGGGAGTTCAGCCTCAAAGAAAAGGGACCTCGTGAACCAATCTGTGAAATTCAGCCCTTCACCTACTTATATAAGGCCAGCAAACAAATACGTATTGTTGAGTTGGGTTCTCAGACCGACCCTTGTCTTCCTGAAAAAGGAACATAAAATGGTGATATGACCAGATGGGGTTGTCTCAAAATCCTTAATCCTTTGCTCCCATTAGGTTTCTCATTATATTCACCATTCAACAAAACCCAAGTTTACCCAAGGCTGAAGAGCACGGCTATGAAGCCAACAGCAACCAGAAACTATGAAGGCTGTGAAGATTCGCTCATCCCAACAGCCCCGGTGATGGACCGCACCTTCAAGATCTCATCCTTAGGGTCGCGGTTCAAGATCTTATGGGTCATCATCTTCAAGAACTCCTGGCGGGGTTGATAGATGGCTTTGTCCAGAAATAGGGCCATGGGTGGCTCCAAAACCCAGTGGTTTAAAGCTTGAGGTTCCCATTAAAATTGCAATGTTTGGGTCTGTTACGTCTCCGAACGAACCTGAATCCATTCTTCACTGCTTAAATCATGCTAAATCCAAAGTTTTGACATGTTTTCACCACTTTGAAATCCGGACTTTCGATGGTTTTTCAAGAGTCCTCCAGTCATGGTGAAATCCCCCGAGATCCTCGTAGCCAATGGTGCCAGAGCCATCATCCTTGAGGCGTCCCGAGGAAATCATCAGTGCTGAACGGCTGTTGATTTATTGAGTGATTTCCTGATGGCCATGGCAGGAAATCAATCCCCATTATGGCACTGTTACTTTAGGGCCTTTTTGTTGGGGAAATCATCCACCGTTCATGTTCATGTTTGATGGTTTTTAGTAACATGCTTGTGGAATATCACGGAGATTTGATTAGAGGTAAATCGAATCTATAAATGGGCCATGGCTTCCATAGCTATGTCAGTTTACTGGATGGTCAGTCCTGGTGCACAGCTTTGGGGGGGTTCCCTTCCCACAATTTCCAACATTCTGGGCAGCCACCATTCAGATTCGTCATCTTCTATTTCACGATCATTCAAGCAGCATTTGACAATTAAATTATATCATATTATATCCCCATTTCTTTGATGGTCCAATTTTATTCCTGTTTTTTTGTTTTAGCCATAAGCCATCTTTGTGGTGCCAAGACACATCCACATCGGAGATCATCTTCTGAATCTCCTCCTTCTTTGGTTCGAAACCCAAGGCGCGCATTGCGACCTGCGGTGACGACGACTGTCACAGCGCCATGGTGAGATGATGATGAGGCTGTCGGTGATGTTGAGGTTTTGCCATCTGTAACCGTAGGATTTTCATGTCACTGTCCATTTAGTAGATGTGATATCAGATATATCCTGCTTGGTGGTAGACCTACCCCTCTGAAAAATATGAAAGTCAAATGGGAGTATTATTCCCAATAATTATATGGAAAATAAAAGATGTTCCAAACCACCAACCAGTATCAGATATATCAGATATCAGGCCATCAGTAGACTTGATGTCATTTCCCACCTCCGCAGATCAACTGGAACAAAACCAGGATGTCCCTACTACTGCTGGGTCCCACAAAAGGGCTCCGTTCAAAGTGGGTCCTAAGCTTTGACCCTGTTGGTATGTTGATATCATGGGGTACCTATTTTTAAGTCATTAAAAGTCACCAAATATACCATGGGGTACCTATAAAGTAATTAAAGCTAGCTATTTTTCAGTCACCATGGCTATCACCAAGTCACTGGATCCAACGCCACGCACCTTCAATTCCTTGGAGTCAATCTCACCACTGCCATCAGTGTCAAACAAATCAAAGGCCTGGGCATCAGCAAAAAAACAGCAAAAGTGAACCGAAAAACAAAAAGTCCAAAAACATTTAACCATGGTTATCCGCTATCCAAAAGTAAACCATGGTTAACACATTTAACCATGACGTAGAAAAAACACCATGGCTATCCGCTATCCAATCCCAGCTGTTCTTCGTCCGGATCGAGATGGATGTTTCGGCTGAGTGTTTCGGCATATACTTGTGGCTAACCTCATTTAAAACCATGGTTATCCCAGTTACCCTCCAATAATCTAACATAGCTATTGAACATGGCCATTTATAGATGACGTGCACATTCGAAATGGTGATTTTCCATAGTTATGTCATGTTCTGCTAGTTTACTGGACAATATCCCACTCCATCCACTCCATCTTTTAGCTGTTACTGTCAGGAGCCTCTTTGATCTCCTGTTTTTGCTCATCCGTGAGCTCCTTCTGCTTCTTACCACCTGCAAACTACTGGCTCTGCGAGAGGAAAAACCAGTGGCTACACCATGCTGGAGCTGGTTGAAGCGACAGGAGTGCCTGGAGATTTTGAGGGAATAGTCACATTTAAAAAAAAAACATAGAATCACCCATATCATCCCTATCATATCTAGACATCATTCAATGTGCATGCACATATCACAGCAGAATAATGATGTGATTGATAGTGGCAAAAAATAACCCCTTAGTATCTTTTGATGTTTTACATTGTCTTACCATCTATCATAGTCATAGCCATAGTATCAATCGACGTCCTTGAATTTACCACCTGCAAATCCCCGAAAAAAATATCTTTATCGCCTGCGTTGAAGCGGCGAAGAGCCATGATCAAATCACGCTGTGATGAGAGTGAGAACCAGTTGTTTGCACTGAGCCAAAACAGCATGTGCGTTTGTGAAAAATCACTGAATCTCTTGGGTTGTGCACATCAAAGAGGAAAGTGAAACACAACATATTGCTTGAAACATTTCGAAACCACCCGCCGGATTCACCCGTCAAATCTCGTTTCATTCCGGAACTCTGACAATGATCGATGTTTTAGGTCTTCCATAAGTACAATTTAGTACATTATCAGTACCCTCTGGTAAACTAACATACAGTAGCTATTGAAAATTGCCATTGATAGTGGATTTACCCATTAAAAATGGTGGTTTTCCATAGTTATGGGACAGTTTACCAGAGGGTATCATCAGTTGGTCCATGTTGGTCCCATCTTTACTTAAACAGGAAAGCGTATCTCAGCGCCGAACGTGCGTCAGCAAGAAGCGCGGCCGCAGGCTCACAGCGCGTTTCACGGCGTTCACCTGGGCCATACGAAATCCAGGTCGTTTTCCCAGGAAAATGATCGAAATCAATGTGGTAAACATAGAGTTTTTGCTATGAAAAATGGCTCATTTATAGATGGTTTACCTATGAAAAATGGTGAATCTTCGATATCTATGCTGTGGAAGTGGGTTCATTGGGATACACCCCCTAAATCAACATCCGCACAACGGTCATCCGCCCCCAAGACAACTGCTATGGGATGCTATGGGAATCCACCGCTTGTATGCAGTCATTCGCCACTTTGGCAGTATATTTGGACACGTCAACCAGTGTAATCTCTGATTATATATATATATATGTATGTATGTATGTATGTTATGTTATGTGATGTTATGTAATGTTATGTTAGCATGCATGCATGCATGCATGCATGCATGCATGCATGCATTATGTATGTATGTATGTATGTATGTATGTATGTATGTATGTATGTATGTATGTATGTATGTATGTATGTATGTATGTATGTATGTATGTATGTATGTATGTATGTATGTATGTATGTATGTATGTATGTATGTATGTATGTATGTATGTATGTATGTATGTATGTATGTATGTATGTATGTATGTATGTATGTATGTATGTATGTATGTATGTATGTATGTATGTATGTATGTATGTATGTATGTATGTATGTATGTATGTATGTATGTATGTATGTATGTATGTATGTAATGTATGTATGTATGTATGTATGTATGTATGTATGTATGTATGTATGTATGTATGTATGTATGTATGTATGTATGTATGTATGTATGTATTGTATGTATGTATGTATGTCTGTATGTATGTATGTATGTATGTATGTATGTATGTATGTATGTATGTATGTATGTATGTATGTATGTATGTATGTATGTATGTAATGTATATGTATGTATGTATGTGTATGTATGTATGTATGTTGTGGTTTGAGGTTTTGAGATCAAACAATGTGACAAAACTATTCATGTTGCTGTTTTCCACGTCCCTACTACTGACTTGACATCGCTCCAGGTGTCCCCAGCCGCATCTGGCAACGTCATGTAGTTGAAGACCTCGGGGGGTCATCTGTGGATATGCTCAGCTGAAAAAGAGGAAGCTGCAGACTTTTTAGGACGTAGAACATAGTTCTCCTGCGGAGATGAATGCCGATTTGATCATTAGCGGATTGATCAAACATGTTTCAAACCAGCTTTTTTTTCTAAGTCTATCAGATTCTTTTTTGGCAGAAGATATCTGAAGATATCTGAAGATTCAGTTAACCTCCATATTTACTTAACATTAGTTAACCATCAATGGGATTTCAACCTGAAGCTATCGACGATGAAGACGCACCCATGGGCATCCGGACATCCTTCGCTAGGACGACATCGCAGCCCTGTGGCATGACCTGTGGCAACTGATGTGTGACCAGTGGATTCATTGAATGCAATCAGAGAAAAAACCATACTTAAAGAATCTTAAAAACTGAGAAGTACAACCAACTCAAAAAAAAAGGGTCTCTATGAACGTAGCTGGTAGTGTTCCAGCGTTTGGTGTGCTGGTGTCAGGAATGCACCGTTCAAATGGAAAGGTTCGACCTCGTTGAAACGAAGTTTGGGAAACCTTTTTTGTGCGAAAAATGGGTGGAACATCCACCATGGAATAAAATATGACTTTCGTGCGCTGAAAAACCTTCGCAAAAGTTGCAATGTCCAAAAGATCCCACATTTTTTCAGCGAAGCAAAGAAACCATCATCAAACCATCCAACCATTAACTGATGGATACTGATGGTTTGTTTGCGATGACAAACTTGCAAGCCCCAACAAGCCCCAACATCATGGTACCGAGACTTAGATTTCTCCCACCTCAATCCCAGAGAGATTGGAAAGATCCGTCTGAATGAACCTGAGCCAAGACACGGCGATCCAAAATCAAAATGGTGGATTTCAAATAATGTTAACCACCCAACATAGGGGAATTCTATGGAATTCAATGATTTAGCACTTTTTTCAAGCAACAATCGAGATTTGGATGTCATACAGATACAGTATATCCAACCACAAACCTGGATTGTACACTCAGTGAGTACACCAGTTGCGTAGCTGTCATCATGCTCCATCTAAGTCTTCCAGAAATTCATGAAATCCGAAAATCCCTAATCGGCCGTTTTCATGAAAATGTTTTCAGACATGTTTTCCTCATCAAATTTAAGCAATTCCATGGGGTATCCCAAATTTTGAGACCCAAGTTTCATGAGGTGATGGTAAAATCCTCATGTGAAACATGGCGAAAATCACAAGTTTGGCAGCAGATTTTAAGTCACCTTCTGCCCATGGAAAAAACCAGCCGTTGGAGCCAAGCAGCTGATTCTTTGGGAAGCGCCGGAAGTTGATGGCCAGGCAGAATGGTGTGATGTCCTCGGAGATCCCATCATTAAACATGTGCGATAGATGCATCGCTATGCATCCCTACTGGTTTTAAAGGCCACTGAATCAAGGAGGATGGGTAAAAACATGCTAAAACTAATGGCATTTTCTGTAGTTCACATTAAACAACTAGGATTTATTGATGTTCATACGCCTGAAAATGGTATTTGCTCTATAGGTATTGATCCGCAACCATATGTCCCAATTCTCAGAAAAAAAATCACTTCCACCCAGGCTAGGGGTATGCTCGTTAGGTCTATTGTCACCGTAATGCTGACATTGCCATCCATGGGAGTAACTTGTCAAAGCAATGGGTCATCCAATGGACTAGTGACTAAGACATCAGGGATTCACCGATAAACAAAAGGAATACTGCCAATCAAAATGGCTAAGGGCTAAACCACCTTGAACTAATTACCCAACTAAGGTTTCCCAAGGAAATATGGTCCAAAAGGATGTGCTACAATTGGTGTAGGTGATGTTGACAATTTGGATTTCCGACTGGACAAAAACACCCAAAATAACTGCAGCAATCTACCACCAGTCGTGCCACACCACGTGTCCGTGTAAACTGGGCTTCCAGACAACACCAACGTAGTTGATCAGCTTGTGTTCCTCCAGAAAATACCTGCACCGCGGTGCCCAAAGCCATCAAAAATGGCTTGATCTATGAAACAATCCTGGCAAATCAACTGAGGAAGAAGCTAAACTCCTCAAATCCCTCAATTTCCACGGTATGAATATAGCATAGACCATCAATCCATGGCTTCAGACGGGAGTGGCTCTCAACCAATCGAACCTGAGCTACCAGGTAGCGAAGCCCAAAACTCCAATTCTGCCATGGTTTCATCCAATTCACTATACAACTGTTGTTGAATAGAACCATCTAAAACCATGTGGGACCCCTAACACCCCCCTCACAAATTTCGGACTGGACTCCCCATGATGTTTACCAACTTAGCTTTCTCGTTGATCCAAATCATATTTAAAAAAATCCCCACGAATCCCATTTCAATCGCCATCTGGTTGGAGGTATACCCCTCTGAAAAATATGGGACTTCGTCAGTTGGGATGATTATTCCATTCCCAATGAAAAGTCATATGATGACATTCCCAATGGAAAGTCATAATCCAGCCATGTTCCAAACCACCAACCAGGCCATTATCGTCCCGTTGTTATTGCTTAAAACCAGCATTGTCGCCCCATCGGCCCATCGGGCACTGGATCCATGACATGTCGCCGCAGCCCAGATCTAGGACACTGCGGATGTCCGGAAAGCGCGCCAGCAACTGGGCGATTTCCACACAGAGGCGTAGCAAAAAGATGATTTGCTGGACTGGGTAAATAAGAAAGAGATCAACCAAATAAGATTAATATATTAACATTATATATATATAATTATATTGAGTTGAGTGTAATGATTGGCTTAATTCTTAAACTCGTAAAGAAAAAAAGGTTGGTTGATCTTGACTGAAATGAAAATGATCATGATATCCCAGGTGATTCTACTTGCAGCTGAGCCGGGGGGAACCTTTGCAGAACGACTCGTAGTGGGACGTGGCAATGGAATCAACCGAAACGTGTCAAACTCAGCAGAGGACCTCAGTATTGATCCAAATCTTAAGTACGTGGCTTGTCCGCTGAACTATTCTGATGCAGAACTGCATCCGAAAAAAAAAACCAGAGTTATATGCTATCTTCCAATTCTCAAACACTAGCATCTACTTTGGCCTCTACCGTAGCTTTTGAAACAGCTACATCATTGATTCATCTGAATCTGAAGATATCTGAAGACAAACAACTACATCAAATCTGAAACCCAGTGGTTTATCATCAACACAATGACCATAAATTGGCCATCAATTACATTTAAAAAAAAACATAAAAATAAGCCCATTATACCCATCATACCCATATCCGAGGATTTTCATCAGAATCAGAATGTCCAAGTTAAAATATATCAGTTATATATACCCTTATTCGACAACTTATTAATAAGTTTACCATATATATATATTGTCCATATAATTCTCATCAGAAATCATGAGAAATTCCCCATGAAGTAACCGCGCCTTATTCAAGGCATTCACCGCCAGTCGCGCCATGGGATGCCAGGGATCAGCACCTGGGATGGCTCGCT